CAACGCCGACGACAAGGGCGACAACAACAACCACAACAACAACAAGAACAACACAAACACAAAGAAGCAATCATCGTGAAGTCAGTGTTGATCACTAGTCTTCACCTCACATTCTATTTGCGAAGACACACTCACTTACACCATCAGCATCAATCATCACATCAGTCAACTCTAATCCACTCAACCCTGACAAAACATCCATCTTTCACATGCGAATGCGTGTCGAAATGTCCACGAAACAAATGTGACTGCGAAACTGTGAACCTACCCAAACTTGTGGCAGTCGATGACGGTGTAGTGAATTGTCTTGAGATACTGGCATCACTCTGCTCAGGTGTGCTCCGCACAGTTGAAATTCTTGCCGACGGATCTGTGCAGCAGTAGAAATAAAACAAAAAAACACAACACATATACAGAGAATTAGGATTGAACCACTCGTCATCACTTCGAAAACATCTCAAAATGAGTTCACAATCTGTGTCACCGCGATCACGTGGCATCACGAACACAAAGCTCCACAACAGACAGCAACAAGTCATCATTCTCCTCATCACCTCAGTCAAACCGCATAGTCATCATCTCCATCCACACCAAACGAGACTATCGATCAGTCATATCGAACCAGATGAAACAGTCGTTTTCACTCATCATCTCCACACCTGATTCCCATGTCGGTGTAAACACACGCACGCGCGCAAGCACACATATGCGCTGGCAAACATTCACGCACGACACGCACACGCACACGCACACGCACACACGGACCAGTGGACGAGTGGACAGAAAGCCAGCAGTCCAATCGACAAGTGAGAGGAACATGCAGAAGACAGGCGATACGGTAGAATCAACCTCACGCCATCTGTCTGGCTGCATAGCACAACACTCCATTCAAATCCACCATTACATGCACAAAACACAATGACTAATGACTCACGATATGATGTGACGTTTCTCAGACTCGGTCCACTGGAAATATTCAGCCTGCTGAAACCCTGGATCAGAAGATCTGTGAAATCATTGTCACTCAGCTCTGAGGCATTCCGTGAGAGTAGCTCGACGGTCACAATAGCTTGCACACCGTCCATTGACACATGCTCAATTCCCGTGCTTGTGTTCCCAACACTCAACCCAATCCAGATAAGGATTCGAATGAAGACGACATTGACACAAGTGGCACCTCGAGATATCTCTTCGTCAGCCAGTTGTAGGCTTCGTAGCAGCTGGAAGATAAAAGACGAGAATCAGAAGGGAAACGCAATCAGTCATGCTCCTTCATATCAAATGGTTGTGTACTATCATGAATTCCCTTCTCACCTCGATTGACGTGATCATGCTGATTAGTGTGAACAGGCTTCTCACCAGTGACCACGAGGACAGATCTTCTAACACAGAGAAGCCTGTCAGACTCCCGACGTCTTCACCACTCAACTCACCGCAGTCGGGTTGGTGAAATCGAAACTTCGCCTCCGAGAATGGCAGCTGAACTCACTCAACACTGAACCAGTCACGCGCACAACTGCTTACTCAGACAATAATCCTGCTTCTGTATGCCTCCTCAACGCACAAATTCACACTTCCGAAACACACTCCTCTACATCCTAGAACACTCAGTGTACTCCACGCTGCCCCTCTCCAACTCAGCATGCAATAACAACTCATCCCACTCACTCTGTCTCTACTATTCTCTGTCGAATCGCCTACACTCAAACAACTCAGTCAACCAGTGCTCTTCCACTCATCACACGAAGAATATCACCCATGCGCTTGTTTCATTCACACCGACCGACACTTAACCCAAGATTCGTACACTCACGTTGCCCACGCTCGACCGTCAAACACCACTCAACCTATTGTTTTCAAGAGAGAAAGGGAAACTAGATAGCAGATACACAGCCACACTGATATGAGTATAGCGATACCGAGGCGTAATAACCACTCCACACCTACCAGGTCACAAGATGAAATCGACAGGCCTCTGAATTCAGAAGTCGTTGGATCTGTCAGGTTGTCTGTCCAACGCATCGGTGTAGACAGCTCCTCGATGTAGATCACGAATTCCACGTCCAATATCGTTGGCTCTACAAATGGGAACGAAAAGAGAGATGAAGCAAACAGTTTCAGCATCAGGATTCCGATCACATCAATTTTTTTTCTGATGATTATTTTTTCGGTGATTTGGTTGTATCATTCTTCTTTTTTTAGTTTTTCCTATGTATTTTTTAATGTATATCTTTTGTGCTCTTTTAAATTGTTTATTTTAATTGCTGTCTTTGGTTTTTTTGACTTTTGTTAACTCATGCTTTTGTGTTGAAATTTTAGCTTTTGTTTTATTTGCCTGCATTCTCTGTTTGCTCTATTAGCTATTGAATTTTGCAATGTTCTTTTTTTCACACTTTAGTTTTTGTAATTTTGTTATTTTCGCTTATCTATGCTTACAGTCGGCTCTATTTTTTTGTTTCCAGCCTAATATTCGTGAATTTTATTCTCTTGTCCTCCAGGCGTACTAATTTCTTTGTCCTATTTTGATTTTTTTTCTCGATATTTCCTCGCTCTTTTTGTGTTTTCGTCGAAATTTCTTCTCTTTCACGTTGTTTTTCGAAGAATTTTTTATTTAGTTTTGGTCTAGAATCTTTTTCGTGAATGTTGTTTGAAAATCCGTGGATACTATTATGAGTAGAAGCCAAAAATCTGCGGGTGATCTAGTACGTCATCATCTGGGTCATATGAAGTCATCTCTGGGTCAGTCAAATCGATTTATTCTTATGCCTAAAACGTATAATCCAAGTAGAATATATGGGTCTATAAAAATCCATAAAGTAAGATACTCTATTAGGCCAATATTTGACTTTAGAAACACCCCAGCATAAGCGTTATCTAAACATTTTAGCATCAGTTTTATGCCCCATTAGAGATAGGTCACATTCTAGGCTAACTAATTTCCATGAAATGAGGCAGAATCTACAGGAAATTCAATTAGAAAAGGATGAAAAAATTATTTGTTTTGGCATGACCAGTTTATGTACTTTTGTTTCCACTTGTACAGCTGCACAGGCAGCTCAAAATGAACTAAACATTGATCCCGAACTCTGCAGTAGAACTAAGCTCTCGGTTGATGAAATAATATTAGGCGTTTAGTTATACCTAAGCTCCAATATTATCAAATTTCAGAATAAATCATACAAACGCACGAAGGGGTGGCAATGGGATTACCAATGTACCCCAATAGTAGCGGACATATTTATGGACAGCTAGGAACATAAAACTCTCAGGAAGCTTCATCCTATTGTTCCTATGTTATAATGGAGATTCATGGATGACAAATTTATTGCGCTGTGATCTGTATGTAACCCCTATATTTTCACACACTCAACAGTAGACGGAATCCAGAACACTTTTGTGTTAGGAAATGAACATGGAGATTTGGCGAGTCTAGACTGTAGTATAAAATGAAAACAAGAAGGTGAGTTAGATACGAGCAATTATAGAAAGCCAAGGTACTCTAATAAGTGCTTAGACTTTAATTCATCCCATCCGGAATTGGTAAATATGTGCTTAGTCAAATGTCTGTATAGTCGAGCCAAGAGCCAAGAAGATTTAAATACTGATGTCAAACAAGTAAATAAAATAATCCATGTGGAACCATACAAAAATATGTTTAGTAATATAAGTGACGAAATCAATATGGAATTCAAAGCATCCATAAGACTTCCTCATAAAGAAGGAACATCAGAGCACTTATGTAGCACACAAAACGAGGCTGGAATTAACGTGAAATTTAAACCAACCAATAGACTCTCTCAGTTATAAGCATTTTTGCCTTAAGAACAAAATATCAAATTGAGAAAAATAAAATTGACCAAACACAATGTAATCACAGTGACAGAGGAAAATTTAAGTTGGACAAATTAGTCAATTGTGGTCAACTAGAAAATTGGAACATAATAGTTTAGCTAGAATGATTGGTTGATCCTGATGAGCTTAATAAATTAGAAAACACCTCAGCCATTTTACTGCATTCACTTGCATGTAATCACTAATTCTGGTGGGACATTGTGAGATTATTTAAAAGTAACTTATAAATTAATTAGTGAGTGGTGACTAGCAGTGGAATCCAGGATGCGCATTTTGTCCTGTTTGGGAGTCGTCATCTGGATGCACCTGCATTCCACAGTGATGTTCCGAGGCTCAATCCCAGTGCTCATTGTTTCAAACGCCAAAGTGTTATCTGCTAGACCACTTGGGTCACGGAAGCCACCTCTTGTCCAACGGGTCATATAGATTATTTAATTGAATTTTAAATTTTCCTATCAATTGATTGGACTGAAGTGATTGGTCTCAGGTTAGCATGTCGACTTCTTGTGCAGATGCTCTCGAGGCCCAAGTGGTCTAGTGGATGACGCTTTGGGGTTCGAAAATATGAGCACTGGGTTCGAGCCTCGGTGGGAACATCGTCGCTCACTGCGGAATGCTGGTACATCCAGATGACGAGTCCCAAATAGGGCGAAATGCGTATCCTGGATTCCACTGCTAGTCATCATCCACCAATCAACTTCTAATTACATGCCCAGACAGCGTCGAAACACCTGCACAAGAAGCCAGCATGTCAACCTGAAACCATGCACTTCATTCCAATCAATAGACGGACAAATCTTAAATTGAATTAAATAATTAAATGTAATATAGTTAGGTGGAGGGAGAGAATGATCACTGAAGTTTTGCTTATCGATTCAACAATGCGTACGGAATGGTGCAACGCCTATATTGGAGATCTGGAAAGTGGCAACAAAAATCAAGGAGAGGTCAGAGAGATAGCTAGACAGAAAAAATATATACGACAAATTGTGAAGGCGTGTGACTAATTTAATATGGTTATGAGTAGTAATTTATGCTCGAAACGTCATCCAATTGTTAACAATGCATCAATACTGTGTGACATTTAAAATAAACTTATCTAATATGAATGTTTTTTTCAATTTTAGGGTTCCTTTGGTGGAACTTACTTTGATTTGTTATCGTGCTCGATGTTTTCTCTGTTGATTCACTTGTTTTCATTTCATCCGGTAAATGTTTTGAACTTGTCCCTGTAATGACAAGTAAATAAAATTTGTACTCTGTTGTATTGTATAGTTTAAATTAACGCATTAGAATAGCCTTTTATTGCAATGCTTTCTACTGTATATTAAATAAATAAAAAATTATTTTGTTTTTTGTAACACAGGAACGACGGTGGTCTGTGAAACTGCAAACTTATACACAGACAGCCTCTGTGAGCTAAAGGAGCGTATTAAATTCATTTAGCCAAAATAATTTAATCCACAAAAATGGCTGTGAGGTAAACTACATATATCAGACCAGGACATGTGTGGTGAGAGCTAACTGCTAGCCTAATTGGTAGACAGTAATTTACGTCAATGTTTACGCCCCCAATATTTATCATGAAAAAAATAAGAACAAAGACTGATTCAACCACCAACCACAGCAGACTTTGTGCAGACGGATACAATTTGCAGATAGATAATGTGAACTTCGAGAAACGGCCACAAAGAAATGAAAGATTAACGTTCAGCGAGAAACCACCAATCAGAAGACTGTGTTTGTTTGCTTACAATAATCTATAATAATGTACATGAAAATATATAAATATCTGTTGATTTCCTAAAAAAACGATGTGTTGCCTGACTCTTGCATTCTGTCGTTACACATATGTCAGATAACCGGAACATAGAAATTTAGCTAAGTGTAGAATGAATTACATCACGATGATGAAAGCTCAATACAATCACATAAGTGGTTAGGACGAAACTACGATTCTAACAAGTAATATAGTTAGTTATAGGAGGATGATTTTATCACTGAATATTTGTTCATCTAATCTACACTTAACATGTGTAATATGAATGACCCAAAGCCAATACCATAGATATATGGATATCATTACTACCAATCAAATAAAACGTTAAGAAATAATAGAATAACATGAACAAAGTTTGAAAGTTATTTGAGTGCTTCCATGTGATTATTGACAATAACTCCTGTTCGAAATCGCATCATGAATCAATACTGTATCAGTGAGTACTTATCAAACAAAATTATCCTATGATGAAGATGTATTCTTCCACCATGCTCAGGTTTTATTCTTCTATGAACACCAAATACATTTTACTGACAACTAAATTAGATTCTTGGAAAGGTACTAATTACAATAAGCCATCAGTCAACTGAATATAGAGGTTAGAAATTCCATGAAGCATGTCTCAGATTTAGACTAGGTATTATCATGTTGAAGTAGTGTAGACATTCAGTGGCGAAATACGTTTCAAAGGTGACGTTTATAATTTCATATCTTTAACTCCTCCTTTTATTTTTATTCTGTTATCACGAATGTTCGTAATAAACATGTGTGAGGATAACTTTCTCCCCATCTTTTTCAGATCTATTTTAATTTTTGATCTCCACTTTTCCGTATTCCCGTTTTATTTTCTACTCATACCATGACTAAAAATCACCTCAGCAAACGTCTGGTTTACTGAATCTGTTATACAATCACTTTCAAATTAGGAAATAACCTGGTTTTCTTTACTTACGGTACACATTTATGTTCTTCCTGCGTAATTCCCTAGTGATATTCAGACTTTTGAGACCGTGGATCAGCATGCTTTTTATTTCAGCATCACTTGGCTCCATATCTTCTCGTAAACTAAGTTGAAGAGTTACATTTTGTCGAAGTTTTTCTACAACAGTATGATACTCAACTATGCTACTATTTGATCGTTCCACCTGCAACTTTCTTGTAACATCAAGGAAGATAACCTGTACGCAAATCATCTCTTGGGAGATTTCGGCATTACTCAAGCGTATACTCTTCAAAACCTTCAAGAAAAAAATGGAGAAAATTAGGTAAGCACGTTCATTCATACACTTTTATAAAAATTACTTTATAAGTAAATCCTTTCTCAATAATGTCGTTGCCGTTAATTAATCTGAATGAAGCAAGACTGAAGATATTTGCGTGATGAAAACAGCTCACTTCATTTCATGGCTTCTTTTCACTTTGCTGACAAACTTAGTAGCATTAGTTACACAAGATAAAAATTTGAAATTTTAAGTGTTTTAAATAAATCACTATTGCAACATTCGGATACCTTCATAAGTTTCAATAGAGCAATTAAAGACCGAATTCGCAAGATGAAATGATGTCATCTTTCTATTTGACAGGTTCTCACCTGTTGACTGCAAACTACCTGAAATTACTATGGTCATAAATAATGACAATTATATCATACTTCAATATTTGAATAGTAATAGAGAAAGCATTATAAAATCAAGTCATCCGAAATGTAAGCAGTACAGTTGTTGATTCAAGTTACCGTCAATTTCTGTACTTTCAAAATAGAAAATGACGAGGGTGGGGTAAAGAGAAGATATAAAGCAGCAAAATCTAATAAACAGTGTTAGCTTGTAGTTGGTTTACTGGAAACTCTCTCAGTGAGTCGAAATTATTACATTATTATTCCCTTGCGTTGCGAGGGGAACGTAGGGCTTCGACAACACAATTCCACTTCGTTCCATTCGGCGATGTCCTCTTCAGCTGGCTAGCCACATGATTGCCCATAATCTCTCATCGCTTTCAAGTCACCCTAGGACGACCCACTCGTCGCTTCCCATTTGCATTCCACTCAAGGACCTGTCGCGCGATATCATTCGACGGTCTCCTCAATGTATGCCCACCTACCTTTCCGCCCACATATTTCTTCACCGATCGTCTCTTGGTTGTTATTTTGTTGCCAGAGTTTCGTATTGCTAATTCTTTCTGGCCCACCTGCTGGTCAGCCATTTGATCTTCAGTATGGAGCCAGCAAAGGAGGCAGCTGTTGACAAAAGTCTGCAGTGGCCCACTGGAAATGCTTTTCGTGACACGCACGCCATGTTTCTGACCCATACAGAAGAAGTGACTGACTTCACATTGGTGTTGAAAATCCGAGTATTCTTCTTCACGTTGGCTGAGTGCAGATGTCCAAAGTGATTTCAGGTTGATGAAGACGTATCTTGCCTTTCCGATTCTGGCTGGCTTTGACATCTTCATCCGTTCCGACCACCTGTGGTTGAAACAGTGCTGCCTGGATAAGTGAAGGAAGTAGACTCAGTTAAATCTCTCTCGTTGATAGTGAATAGTACTAGTTGTTGTTGCTGTTGTCACTGGTTGGTCAGTTATCTTCATCACCTCCGTTTTCTCCATTATCACCTGGAGTCCTGTCTTCGCCACCTACCAGCCTTGTCAGCCAGTTTGTTGGTTTTCGCCTGCAAGTCTTCGAGTCTGTGTGACATTGAATATAAATCATCCACACATGAAATCCAGATCTTCTAGAGTCTTCTCATTTATCAGTGCGGCGTATTTCTGTCTTCTCACTCCGTGTGCACAGTTTGACGCATAATCCAGTCGACTACAATTAAGAATATCATTGGTGATAATAGGCAGCCAGCCAGTCCTCTCTTACTCCTGCATTCACTTTGAACGCCTTGCTAAGTTTTCCGTTGTGCATCACTTGGCACGTACCATTGTCAAATAGCCAGCTGTTGAATGAGGTTGATAAAGATTTGGGCATTGCACGCCATAGTGTTGAAAAAGTTTCCAAATTACTTCTCAGTCAATTCTGCCTTTTCGAAGTCGACGAATTTGAGGTAGAGTTTTGACTGCTAGTCTATGCTTTGTTCTGTGATGGCGATGCTTAGAGCTGCATTTCGATCAGCACATAATTTGTCTTTCTTGAATCCAACTTCTTCTGGGCGAAGTTCTGTATCCAGTGCATCCTTTAATCTCTCTGTGATGACGCAACTTAGTATTTTACTTGGCTTGGTCAAGAACATTATTCCACGCCAGTTCTTGCAGAGACCTAAGTTGCCATTTTTGCCAGATTGACAAGGCAGCCAGCCTTTTTTCCACTTGGTAGGCATCTTTCCTTCTTTCCAAACCTTTTGCAATAATGGTGGGAGAACACCTGCCGCAGCCTCTGGGTCCGTTTTCAGTGCTTTTAGAGGGGGGAATTTCGTCTGATCCTGTTTACATTCCCGACTGAACTTCAGTGACCTAATAGCGTTTAGAATCCCTGCTTTCGTTGGAGGACTGTTGTCCAGTTGCGGGCAGTTGTGTGATTGCTGGTGGTGCTGGTGGCATTTCTAGGCAAGTTGCAGATGATGGTCGATTAAAGAGACATTTAACGTGATCATTCCATTGTCTTATCTGTTTCTCCTTCTTGGTAATCAGGTTCCCTTGAGCTTCTTTTATTGGTTTCATCATCTGAGTTGATCTCTTCCCGGATAGAGATCTGGTTATCAGTTGTAATGTCCTGAAGTCCCTTTTACTTGCAGTCTGTTCTGCTTCATTTGCCGGCCATTAGGTCATAAAATTGTCGTTTGTCGTTTCTAGTGCTCTTCTTCACTTCTTTATTTAGTGCAGTGTACACTGAACTCAGCTTCTTCTGGTTTCCATCTTTGTTATTTTCTCATTCCACATCCCCCTCTCATCTCCTCGATTAGCTTCTAGATAGAAGTCCGTTGATAGCCATTCCTGGCCTTGTCTCTTCTTTCTTCCTAGAACAGTTGTACACGTTTCTTTGAATATCAACCTCAGAGAGTTCTACTGTTCATCCACACAGGTCTCCTTGTTGGTAACACATACCGTCTCCGACTTTGTTCTGATCTGTAGTGGAGGCATCCCTTGTGGTTTTGTCCTTCACTTTCAGAATGCTGAACTTGAATTGAGGTCTGTCCCCCGTTGTTCTGAAGAATTTCAGCTTCACCTTGAAGGTTTCTTGAACAAGATGATAGTCTGAGCCCACATCTGCTCCCTTTCTTGACTCTGTGTCCAATAGGTTGGCTGCGTCTCCACTTTCTTGAGCTACATTGAGATGAAATCTGTCTGATTCGTGGTGTGTCCGTCAGGCGAAACCCATGATGCCTCTCGACCCATGATGAGTTCTCTTCATGTACTATATGTTCCCAGTTTGGCTGGCATTCATATCGCCCATGAGAATTTTGATGTCACCAACCGGGATGTTGTCCATTACTGTTTGTAGTTGTCTATAGAAACCCTCCTTGTTTTCTTGTTCCACGTTGTTTGTATGTGTGTAGCATTGGATAATTGTGACCTTCTTTCCTTTTGATTTGAATATTGTTGTCATTATCCTGGGTAAAATTGGTCATCATTGCATTAGGGCTACCACTGGTGTCGTCTGGGTGACTGAAGTAGATGACTGACTCTCCAGTTGACAATTCTAACAGTCCACATCCATTCCATCTGCTCTCCCAGCACTTATATGCCATATCTTCGCATTTCTTTGGCTACCTGGGTAGACTTCCCAGTCAGCCTCGTACACTGTACGGACATTTCACGTTACCATTCTTATTCTTGCTTTCATCGAGAGAAGATAAATCGGATGGCTGGCTTCCCGAAGGCTCTCACCAGCCCACATCATTTCGCCCCTTCGATTCCAGTGAAGAATTAGATTGTTATTTCAATTTTTTGTATTTATAATACATTTTTGTGTGTTGAAGTTTCTCTAGCAGTTTAATAGCTTTTGTGGTGTAAAGTCGCCAGCCCCACACTCAACGCTCCCTTTTTACCCGAGGTTGTGACAAGCTAAGAAACTAGCAAGCTAGTTAACTGTGCGAGGTTGAGTTGAAGTGGTACGGTCACAAAAATCATCTACAAAAAAGAAACCTAAATCGGACAATATCTTTAACATAACTGCTTCTGTCGTATAAACTATAAGCGTGGATTAGTAGAGACACTGTACAACACAGTCAGGAAGTTATGTTCGCCTAACAAGTTATGAGAAGAACTAGGCCTTGTTGAAAAATCCCTAAAGGATTCATCCAAAAGCATGGCAAAGAAAAGAATGAGAAAACGAAGTATCCAACTGTTGAAAAGAAGAAAGTTTTCATTTGTTTCCCTTTTCAAAAATAGAAGCACAAACGGTTGACAAGAGAATGAAAGGGGCAATAAAAAGATGAATAACTGCAGCTATGCTCGTAAGGCTAAACTGCATGGCATGTTCTGTAAGCTAATCCATTCTAGATAAGTACCTTGTTGATTTCACTTCCAACTGCGGGAGCAAGTACATAGCAAAGACGGGAAGAAGGACTTCTATCCGGTTTTAAGAACATATCTCAAGAAATTTATGTCTAAAAAGAAGCAGATATTCACAGAGTGCAGTTACCAGACACCATGTGGATATGGGTCATTTCATCAAGATTTCCAAATCCTTGATGATATTAAACATAAAAAGGACAGCAAATTTACTACGATTTGCTGAAGCAATTGCAAGCAAGCGTTTCAAAGCACACTTATGATGCATACAGAAAGAGAGTGTAATCATTTTCTCACTGCCTCGGTAACTACATTTTGATTACAGTGATTAGTCATGCATATTAGTGATTTCAACTCACTGAGCGAATTTCCAGTCGCATAAATTATAACCTCCTTGAATTACTTCATAAACCAACTACAAGCTAACACTGTTTATTAGATTTTGCTGCTTTATATCTTCTCTTTACCCCACCCTCGTCATTTTCTATTTTGAAAGTACAGAAATTGACGGTAACTTGAATCAACAACTGTACTGCTTACATTTCGGATGACTTGATTTTATAATGCTTTCTCTATTACTATTCAAATATTGAAGTATGATATAATTGTCATTATTTATGACCATAGTAATTTCAGGTAGTTTGCAGTCAACAGGTGAGAACCTGTCAAATAGAAAGATGACATCATTTCATCTTGAAAATCTGGTGTTCCTTTCATTTTTGAAATCAGTTTTCATTTTTTAGCGCATGCATAGAGGAAGAAATGTCAACTGGAATCATGTAAGGAATCACGTAGGCATTGGAGACAGCATCTGTCTCGGTTAGGTTGATTTCACTTCACAATGGAAAATGAGCATTTATTCAGTCGAAAGTATATAAGCATATGAATTCTAACTTCACTGACCATTTAACATGCACAAATGGTCACACGTAATTAGAGAGGATTGAGAGGAGAGAACCTAGTAGCTTTTGAGCAGTTTTTCTGATGAGTGAGAAAGTCTTGGCAGGTTTGGTCTCCAGGTTCCTTACTCACATGCAGCATAGAGTGGACATTGACCAAACCTTCAGTATAATCAATATACAGAGGAAACTCCGATTATTTCATTTTTCGCAACCTATTGGTATTAAATAATTTCATCTTGAACAGTGTGACTGACCTTGTACTACTGTGGCAACTTAAATACTTTGTGTCTCACTTGAATTCGACTTTTAGTCAATGAGCTGAAATGATGATTAAGCTTCCAATTTTCATTAACCGATTGATTATACGGTAATTTTCTTTTATTTACTATATGAAGTCAATTTGTCCCAATTAATTTAATTGTTCAGTTTCCCATCAAATTATCTACACATAAAACTCAGCTTCTTGATTACTTCATAATTCAAGGAAAATAACCATCCAAAAATCGAAATAAGAGCAAACAGTTCAGTGAAAAGACTCTTTTCACCGGATTTATTCACTTCACTGTACAGTCGACATTATATGTAATTATTATTGTATGTGAGTACATTCATTTTGTCAGACATGGCACAATAATCAAATTTAGTTTTCAAAATATTGCAAAACTATGATGAAGAATCAAACTGCAACTTGTCAGGCGAGGGTTGAGGATCGGTAAGTTTAGACTAAAAGTTGCATAATATGAAGAACGTTCAGAAGAATTGAATGCTAATGAGACAGAATTGAGAGAAGCATCAAAATATATATCATGTAGTCGGTGAAGAAAATGAACGAAGGGTTAATTCAGAACATAATGTTGGACAAAGCAGTAAAAAGATATAATGTGTCTGAATCGTGTAATGTATTTGCGCAACACATTTCGAACAATCTGATCACACATTGACTTTTCATAGGAATATATACGAAACCAATAAAGATTTAAGAGGTGAGATAACAGACTTGGGTCAGGTTAAAAAGACATATTGAAGGTGAGTCAAACAATGAAGATGACTAAACCAAATAACAGGTAACAAAGTTTTCCAAGGAAGGTTTAATGTGATGATGAATTGTTTCTGAACTCATAAAGGTGGTTTAAGCTTCTTAACCGCTAGGGACTCCACAGTTTAGGGAACGTCCTAAACACGTTTTACAGATAGGCTTAAAAGACGTGTCAGCATCGATTTTTTATGTCCTGTCTCTATAATACGTGTCGTAATAGAGAAGCTAGATAGCCTGTTCTCACCATGAATGGGTTCTAGGGATTCTATTTGCTTCTGAAGCCATTTATGAATATGCTGTGAAGCTCCTAATTGCAGAGATCGGTGAGTCCTCTCTGTGTATTTGTGTCCACACGTACATTCAAATTGGTAAATACAGTGGGATGTGACTTCATTTTTTGCATGTTCGAAGGGGTTAGGTAGATATATTGGCTTTACATTCTCTATTATTATGATATTGGCTGCATGAAAAGTCTTTTTGACAGCAGCGTTCAGTCTTTGTCTAGTTATCAAGCTGCTTTGATGCCCCATATAGGGTAGCTTGATGTACACGTCTTTCTTACGGGCGAGTTGGAGAGTGGGTCTTGGTGTTCTGACTACTTTATATCTCCTGATGAACTTGTCTGGATAATTGTTATCAGCCAGAGTTTGTGTCAACTTTCTTTCTTCTTCATCAAGTGTGTCTTTGGTGCATAATTGTTGGATTCTACTGAAGAGGCACCTTAGTGAGGCTCTTGTATACCAAACAGGCCAGAAAGTGTGATAATTAAGATACAATCCTGTCCAAGTAGGTTTTCTATAAACAGATCGTTTTATTGATCCATGAAGCCGTTGACTTAGCAATATGCCTAGGAAAGATAAACAATTATCTTCCTCTTCTACAGACCTAAGTAATGTGCTGTTATGAACTTCATTCGTTCTATTTAAAAATGAAGTCGAAGAACAAGACTTATCACTTATGATTAAATTGTCGTCTACATACCTTCTATAAAGTGATGCATGATGTTAATACATTTCATACGAAAAACTGCATAAACATCAATAATCACAAAATGCTAATAACAGCTGAACATGGAGTTTTACCCAAGGTAGAAGGAATGGATGAAAACATTTTTTCTGTGTATAGAAATCAGGATTTTTCATCCAAATCTCTAAGGCCTCATCAATGCGAAGTATACAGAAACATATTGTTTTTGGAAAGCTTATTTTAAATTTGTGAATAAATTTGGATGAATATCCCGTACATATTGAGAGACCAGGTTCAAAATATGTGTTCAAAGATAACTCTCAGTATTGATCTATCGTAACTTGATTATAGCTAAGCAAAATGATGTTTCTTGACTCTTTTCGAGAAAATACCCATTCACTGAACGACCAATATATCTGGCTCTACAGGAGCAAGTAAACTGGGAGATACACCGAAGCGTGTTCAAATACCATACTTTTGTCACTTGTGGTAATAAATGTCACCTTAATTATGTCCTACAAATTTTTCATAGTTGCCAACTAGCCAGCGAATTTACAGTAGAAGTAGAAACCAAACTTTAGACATTCGATTAAAAAAGAAGCTGGCACGACATTGAAAATATCAGTATACAGGGAGCCTGTGTGGGAAAGCCAACTGACAAACGTTTGTAGCTGAGTTCCTATAAGTCTCAAGCGGTGTTAATCCAACTTTTGAATCGAGGTTCAGTTTACTTAATAATATTTTCATCTCTTTTTACCAAAATTGATAGAAAAGTTTAGTCCTTTATGTTCCATTGCCTTCTAAATAAATGTATATGACAACTTACGTGTGTGATCAGAATGCCCAAATGTACTGTACAAATACAATACTCAACTTTCAGATAAATTACATCTTCTTATTGATTTTATCTTGTTTAAAAGTTCATAATATCTTTGTTCAGTGTTTTATTATTTTCAAAAGAATAGTTACTGAACATAGAATTCTCTTTTCGATAACTTCATCATCCGGTTCTATAGTTATATATACATGATAGTGAATGACTTAGGAAAATCAGTTCACAGAACTTTAAATGCTAGAAAATTACAAGTCTTGTTTTCTGCACGACTGATGGTGATTCCCCAACTCAAAGATGAAATACCTAGACTGGCTAGCCACCACTAATTGTATCTGCCATTTCAACAGTGCTTCTGGAGCGAGTTATATTGGCCATTGCTCTAGGAACTTGATTTTTCGTGATCACTTGGGAAAACCTATCAGTGTGCCTAAATAAAGCTGTAGTGGGAAGCCTCAACAGCTCGATATTAGAACACCTGGTCTAAATTGGTCACAACGGTAATATTGAAGAGTCTTTCTCCATCATCCATCGGGTGCCAAACAAATCATCCAGAAAATCTAGGTACAGCATGCTCAAAATAGAAGAAGCCCTTGTAATTTGCCTGAAACAACTGATGCCTTGTGTGCAGAGGAACCGAGTCCAGCCACTACTTATGCCCTGGCCGGCTTTCTGTGGAGACTGTAAATTGATGTATTTGTATTATTATTTTTCCTGATTTCTCTGATATTCAGCATTCTGTTATGTTGATGCTGTCTAACTGTAATCTATTGATATTATTATTGATTCGATGTTATTTAAACAACATTAATGTTGTTCATAACACCAATTCACTCATTCACTATCATGTATATATAACTATAGAACCTGATGATGAAATTATCGAAAAGAGTATTATTTGTTCAGTAACCATTGTTTTGAAAATTTACTATTTTGTACATTCTTTGTTTATATATATATATATATATATTTCCACTCTGTCGTATGAGTGTACTTCTCCTACTCATGTCAAAAAGTATTTTCAATCAATTTACTGGCTGTAGAAATCAAATCAAAATTATATACTGTAGATTACAGATAGTCGACAATTTTGATTACTCTGGCTGTATCACTTAGTATATTTTTATTTCAGGTAATAAAATCAAGGGATCATAAATGACAGATAATACTTTCAAGCATAAAATACTAAATTAGGAGAGCAGACTAATTATCTCAATAACAAGATTCACACCGCTAACACGTTTAACAAGAGAAAAAAATCAGTTATTTTCCATAAAACATGCATTGTGTATTCCCACACGATAGTAATGTCACCTAAGAATTCTGTATTAGGAGAGCAACAGTTATTCGAAATCAGTTCATTCTCCGAAGCTTAGGTTTTCTCATCAACCTTGTTCACATTTTCAGTGATAATGTCTATAAAATCGATTTTCAAAGCACTCAACCGTTAGAACTAGTTGATGAAATCAGTGAAATTCAAAGATGCAATAGAACATTGAAAAGGTAGTAAACAAATATAGTCAGCCAACTAAACAACGCATGATATTAAGCTATTCAAATATATGAAATAAAGAAATATGAACACATATAGTTCCACTTTGATGAATAGCACAAACAGATGCCATAAATAGTCAACATTCTGAGAAAAATATGCATACACATACCAATTCACAAATTGACGCAGCCAAGCTTTGTAGTGCAGGATTCAACTTTGTGAAGAGGTCATCAGTCCAGCGGATGTTCAGCGGGATTTCATCAAGATGAATTGTGAATTCTATACTTAGTGTTATATTGACTAGAAGTTAAATAAAAGTTATATGAATTAAGATAAATAAAAAGGCTTATTTTATAAATAATTCAGTAGAATTTTTACGAAAATTGTGATTACAGTATTCTAGAGGTTAGTGTAAATTTCGGAATGATGTTAATAAAATGAAGAGACACAGAATTCTTGAAACAATTTATTTCCCATCTGATATTCCGTCAGGTGATATTACTTATGACACACCTATTCAGTTCAAAATTTATCTAGTTTACAATGACTATAATCAGCTGACTGGCACATATGTAAGCGAACTAAAGTTTACCTAAAATATAACGCACAACTAACCAAAACTAATTCACAAACTGACGCGAATAAGATATCTCTGCTCGATAGATTTCATTTCGCGGACATTATGGCGGATCAGGTGAATAATGCCTTTATTCACTGCACAACATTCCCTTTAAGGACCAACTGCTACAAACATAATCAGTATGTTATCAACATGAACCAAGGTCAGGAGATGCAAAACCAGTTTCAGTGGTCTTTTGATGCCTTTTACGGAAAGTCGATTCACGTAGTTACCTCTTACATTCAAACGTTCCAATAGACTGCAGACTATTTTTGAAGCTCCTCTGAAACACAAACATTTAACTTATTTGGCCATTATTACTGAAGAGTGAAATCTGTCACACGTGTTCCGTCGTGTTTGACATACCGTTAGTTATATTCCGATATGGTTGTCACAAGTGGGACTAAACGTATCCGCCTACATTTCGAGATAATAAATAGTCATTAATCATTATTTTACTGTAGTAAATTATTAAATAGAGATAAGGTTATGGCAAGTGAATTGTCACTGCTTTTGTGGTTTGTAGAAATTTGATTCGTATTGCTTTAGCAAGATTGATTACAACGTATTCTGTAGATTACTTTGAGGTTACTTTGTGGGTCTGCGTGGTGTCATGATTCGACCAGCTGTTCCAGAAAACAGCATTTGTGGGACATCTTTTTTCTCCATTATAAAACCATGACAGTATGTTCGATGACACGTTTGGATAGCAAACGCTGGATCCTAGATTCACAGGTTGAGCAAGTGAACTGTTAGATGTACACTGATGAGGCCAAAAGTGGTAGCTTATTCTTCACGTTCATGAGAATCACTGGTTTTGTGGAGTCAGTTGGAGAAAGATAACACGTTAGATTTAATTATTATTATTATTATAATCCCTTTAGTTCCAAGTGAAACTTGGGGCTCTAACAGCACATCTCCATTTCATCCTATTCTCTGTAGTCCCATTCACCTGCCTTCAAGATAGACCACAAACTCTCAACTATTCCTATCAGCCCACCATCTCATCAATATCACAATCACACCAACACACAACTCATTGTCTCCCACTCGGCTTCCACTCGTTGAACTGCCTAGCGAGTGATGTCACTCAGTGTTCTCCTGTCCACCACCATCTACTGCATATTTGTTCAGCATTTGATTTCTTGATTTGTTCGTTGCCTGATTGGTTCCTCGTTGCTTACGATTTCTGACCAGCCATCTTATATTCAGTGATGAGCGAAACAGGTTGTTGACGAAAGATTGCAGCCTGTCAGAAATGTTTGTGATGACGTGCACGTAAAGTTTCGGAACTATGCAGAAGTGCTGATTTGATGTTAGTGTTGAAAATGTGAATATTCTTCTTGACAGAGATTGTGGTAGATTTTCACAATGATTTCAGATTAACGAAGGTGTGTCTTGCTTCTCCGATCGCACCTCTGACATCTTAACTCTTACTGGTTTTGGTTGAAACGACGCTGCCTAGATAAGTGAAAGAAGTGACTTTCTTTAGATTTCTCGCATTAATGCGGCTGGGTGCATATTGTTTGTTACGTAACTCAATCACCTCTGTCGGAGGACATACTCAAAGAAATGCTTTCTTCATAAATGATATTGGTTGTCACAGTAAAAGTAATACACTTGTGACTTTGTTTATACATTGAACATACTTTTTCAATAAATATCCGTTAATTTAGTATAAAATCCAAAATTATAGACTGAAGAAAACTTACTCATATCATAAAATGATTTCGGAGTGAAACGGTTGCTTGCTGTAACTTCACTACTTCGGATTATTTCATCTGTAACACTTATTTCTGTAGAAAATGAAGCAAATATATGTAAATGATAATTTTTGCCTTAATAAACTTTTACGCTTTTATTTTATTTTACTTATTTATTTTTTTCTTTCACGTTCCCCAGTGGAACATAGGGCTTCAAGCTAGTGGCCTGAAGTTACTGTAGCAGTGTTCATTTTTTTACAGGAGGGGGTTGCTAGCCTCACGCCCAACCTTTCCTTTTCACCAGCATTATTTCTGGCTTAGCGAGATAAAGGAGTGCGTCGGCTGGGGCCCGAACCCGGGACCATGTGCATGGTCGGCGAGCGTCCTAACCGCTATACCACCGACGCACGCCTTTATTTTGCAATTGTTTAATGAACAAGTTGTCTAGAAAGATAATGAATGTCTGTTAGCTAAAGTATTCAAGTCAGAGAATCCAATAACACTGAAATTGTCTACAAACTGCCCTCCGAGGGCTGATCAATGCATCCACACCGCCAGTTTACAATTAATGTCAGTGCATTGAAAATGCTAGTTGTTATATGAGCTGTTAGGCTGTCAAATTTATGGCGGCGTTAACTGCTGTGGTTTCGATTAAAATTGCTTAGATTGCATAATTTAAGATACTTGATAAGCACATAGTTAAATGTCTGTGTGAATTGATGCAATGGAAAAGTTGTATTTATCTTCAAGACCATGATAATATTTAATTGGTGGATGGTGACTAGCAGTGGAATCCAGGATGCGCATTTCGTCCTATTTGGGACTGGATGTGCCTGCATTCCCCAGTGAGTGATGATGTTCATTAGTAACATCTTTAACAGTTAAATAGTTAATTTATGCTAAATGAGAGGCTACTGAAGTGGAAAAGAATGGAAAAAATAGGTTAGTTCCGACATAACAAGCTAATGTACCATTATTCTGATTAGTACAGATCTGGAAGCAGTTAGGACTGAAATGTATATTGATACTGAACGGACCTAACCAAATTTACTTAATAGGGAATTTCATTCTAATACGGATTAATTTATCATAACATAGGAATTTATCCATATACATAGACCCTATTACGTCTGATAATTAGGCAAGCAATCACACAAAATAGGGATGATAAGGTGAAGATACTAAAATAAGTATGGTAAGCTGAAAGAAGAGATCTGTTGCCCAAACATGTATTTAGACTAACGACAAATGTAAATTCATAACAGAAATATATATATATATATAATTCGAGAGCCAGATGAAGAATTCCTGGAAATAAATTCTCCAAGCTCAATTTCCATTTTGTCTTCTAAATGAAGTTCATTTTAGAAATGTCTGGTACTCTTTGTATAAAAAGCCCTTTATTTTCTATTCAGTGCTGGTGATAACTATCGTGCTGATAAACTAATATTACATCTTCAGGATTTCGTAATGAACTTTCAGCAGTTAGAAAACCACTAAAAGAACCTTAGAGCACTGAGCAGCTGTTTCGTCAGCCTAGTTTGGAACTCCTCATCAGTACGCACCCGCCACAGTTCTAACCAAAGAAATTACGGTTTCAAGGCGGGCTCGTGGATCCTCCAGCCACTGGAACCCAGCACAATGGTCTATTAAATTAAAATTTTTTCCAATTCGTGATATCACGAACTCGCCCCATAACCGGAAGGCCCTTGGTTCGAAACACAGTGTGTGCGTACTGTTGAAGAGTCCAAAACTAGGACGGAACAGCTGTCAAGTACTTTCAGGTTCTCCAATGATTCTCTAACTGATATCAGCTCGTGATCAATCCTGTAATCAACCAAATCTTTGCGAATCAATACTATACATGTATATATGTATCTATATATATAATATATATATATATATGTGTGAATTTCTCCCGAAAGAAATCCGAAACGATAATCCAAACTATAGATTTAACCACACGTAGAGTGACGCGCAAAGTCCGAAATACAGGATATTCTGCAATACGGCACTTTATTACATAAAAATAGATATATAATATACAAACCTCAAAATGTGAGGTGTCTGTGGCTAAATGCCGTCAAATGCACAAACACTGTGCAGTCAATATGTAAAAACAGCAATGCTGTGTCAAGGTCAATCCACGTGTCGGTTCAAACGGCCCGCGAATGCCAAGCAAAGAATAAACAAATATGAACAAACAACTATCAACAGTAAAGCATACACTATAGGGTAAGGTCAGCAAATAATGTTTACGGAGAAGAAAAATAAGAACTATACATTAATAGAATGATAATAGAACAAGTAATTTAACTGCAGTTGTAAGCAAATGTCATTGTTATAAATTAACATATAAAAAATCATACTACTTACTAATGGCAAGTAGTATAATGTTGAACAAAGGAAAGATTCAGAATGAACAGGTAGGAAAGGAATTAACACCGCCCCCTCAAATCCAGCCTGGTTTTCCCTACTATACCTGCTATTAAGACACAGAAATGGTACAATTTACTCTCGCCACATCTGCATCCCCTATCCAGCTATATATCCTACAAAGTGCTTATCTCTCTTAATATATGTGCAAAACTTGGGCACTGTGGTAGTAAGTAATTCCATATTAGTTTGTTTATTAGGTATATCACACAGTGAAACAGTATTATTTACTGGATGACGTTTCGAACAAAATTTATTGTTCATAATCATATCAATTGTGATCACACGACTTTGACACTTGAGTTTTATAGTTTTCTTTGTTCTCTCCTATTTGTCGTAGGGGTAGTAGAATTTCGCAGATATCGGGGACAGCTGATGAATCGTTCCTATTACATGTATTTGCAGTTGATTCGATAAACAAAGCTCCTGTTATCAATCTCTCCCTATACCCTGTGACATTAGATTTTAAAACTGTCATCCTATCCTATCCTATTGTATGGTTGTGTGTGACTGCATGTAGTACTTCCTATAGCTGAACTATTCTCTAGATTTCTTATCTTATTTGGGTAAACCAATCTAGTTTTTATGTTCAGCTAGTCTGACTGCCCCTGTTCTACTAGTTTGACCTATGTATTTGACCTGACAATCATTGCAGGGTATTAGATAAACTAAATTGTTTTGTTTTAAAGGCTCTACAGGATCCTTTAACCGACAAAGCTTGTTTCTAATTGAGTTTGTGGGTTTGAATGCCGTTTTTATTCCTGCCTTGTTAAGAATTCTGCGTAAGGCTTCCGAGGTTCCTTCCTTGTATGGAATTACTACTGATGATTTAGATTCTTTATTGTTGGTGTCGTCATTATTATTATTATTACTGTTATCATTATCATTATTATTGTTATTATCACTATCGCTACTATCATTATTTATTTTATTTTTACATTTCCTTACATATTTCCTGACTAATTTATCCGGGTAATTATTAAGTTTTAAGGCTTCTTTTATGTGTATCAGGAACTGATACACATAAAAGAAGCCTTAAAACAGGATCCTGTAGAGCCTTTAAAACAAAACAATTTAGTTTATCTAATACCCTGCAATGATTGTCAGGTCAAATACATAGGTCAAACTAGTAGAACAGGGGCAGTCAGACTAGCTGAACATAAAAACTAGATTGGTTTACCCAAATAAGATAAGAAATCTAGAGAATAGTTCAGCTATAGGAAGTACTACATGCAGTCACACACAACCATACAATAGGATAGGATAGGATGACAGTTTTAAAATCTAATGTCACAGGGTATAGGGAGAGATTGATAACAGGAGCTTTGTTTATCGAATCAACTACAAATACATGTAATAGGAACGATTCATCAGCTGTCCCCGATATCTGCGAAATTCTACTACCCATACGACAAATAGGAGAGAACAAAGAAAACTATAAAACTCAAGTGTCAAAGTCGTGTGATCACAATTGATATGATTATGAACAATAAATTTTGTTCGAAACGTCATCCAGTAAATAATACTGTTTCACTGTGTGATATACCTAACAAACAAACTAATATGGAAGTGCTTATCTCTCCTCAATACCTTCTAATAGGCAAACCTTACGCACATCTCGGTTGACTATACCCCTCGGTGTCTTAATATCCACTTTTCTGATATACCCATCACAGCTTGCCGTAACACCTGTAATTATTCCCATTGACCAACGATTGCGAGGTGAAGGCTTCGCAGTCACTAGTACTAGGTCTCCCACTTGTAAGTTTCGATGTCGTTGAACCCACTTCGAATGCGATTGTAAGGTCGTCAAGTACTACCGCTTCCACCGTCTCCAAAACGTATCGGCAAGGAGTTGCCCTTGTTTCCATCGTCGTGAATAACGTCCACATAAACTAACGTCGATTGTGGCTCGTTTTAAAGCATAGGCTGCACAAAATGGTGATGAGGTAGCACCGAAGGGATGTACGTTTAATTCATACAGGCTCGGTGGTAAGTCCAGTCTACCCTCAGAATACTATAAGAAACTAAAGGCACTTTTATCCTTGACAGGTAAGTGAACCTGAAGAAACACCTCCTCAATATCTGCTGACAAGGCTATCCGATGTTTTCTAAATCTCAATAGTACCCCAGCCAAGTCATTCATCAGATCCGGTCCCGAATACAGACAATCGTTCAAGGACATTCCCTTACATTTAAAGGCACAGTCGAAAACCACTCTAATTTTACCAGGCTTGCGGGGATTTATAACTGGGTGGTGAGGGATAAATCTACGTTTCTTGGAGAAGTCGTCAGGAACGCGACTAATATAACCCTTCAACTCATGGTCTGTTAGTATTTGATTGTAGGACTTTAATAGGCTTTCGTCCTTTTTTAGCTTCTTCTGAAGACTGTCCAGCCTGCGTTCTGCCTCAAACCTATTAGGCGGTAATCTACGCCAGTCCTCTTTCCAAGTCAATGGAACTTCATAATGTCCGTTCCGCAATCTTATCTCCCTATCGGTTGCCTTCAGAACCTCTATATCTATTTCAGAACTGGACCTTTCGTATGAGTGCTTGTCCTGAAATTCAGCTTCAATCATTCGCAAAGGCTTGTTCTCTACTGTGTCACTTTCCTCTAAGCAGAAGATAGAGGTTGCTTCTTTATATTCGTTTCCTAAACCCAATAAATACCAACCAAAAACTGACAAAGATACAGACGGTTGGTTGGATTTCCCTATACGCTGCTCCAGCACCCAGTGTGCTTCAGGTACATTAGTCCCAATTAGTAGACTGACCTGTTTACATTCGACGTCTAGAAAGGGAATTTTTGCCAGGTGAGGCCATTTTTTCGTCTGTTCGTTTGAAGGAGTCTTAGGTCTCTTTACAGGCAAGCTTTCCACGGTGTAGGCACTCTTGACCCTCGTCTTGTAATCTCCCGTTAAGGATTCAACTTCAAAATCAACCTTAGATGAATTCTGAGAAGTAGTTCCACAGAAAGATGTTACCTGCATCAATGTATTAACCCCTTCCAGTCCTATTTGGCGGGCAACATGACTCAGCAGTAGTGTAGCATCTGAACCATTGTCAAGAAAGGCATAGGTATCTAGAAATCCTTTAGGACCTAAGATACGAATCGGCACATATCCTAAAAAGGAAGTTCTGGATCCCGAGTAGGGTAGTTGACAGTCTGGCATGCTGAATTATCTTCATTGTGTAGAAGTTTATGATGAAGTCTAGTGCATCCCACTATATCGCAACTTCTTGCTGCACGACAAGTGCCAGCTCGGTGATTACGTTTCAAACAGTTAAAGCACACCTTATGCCGCATTGACACTGCTAGTCTCTCTTTGTGACTCATCGACAAAAAGCGTTGACATTCCCATAAGTCGTGATCTGTGAAGCAAACTATGCACGACTTCTGGGCTCGTGACTTCACGACATTAACACTGTGCGAAGGCATAGCTCTGGACATTTTACCATTGGACCCTACTTCGTTGTTCTTCCTATTCCCACTAGCTATCTGGCCGTAACAGCTTGTAGCCAATGATAGTTGCCTTTCGAGGAATTCTTTGAAGTAACGAAAGCTAGGTTCAGCAAACTGTAAACCATCGTTTACCAATTCTGCCCACTTCCATCGTAGGTGCCGGGGGAGACGTTGAACAATGCACTTAAGGTTGGTAGAGCAGTCCAAGTCTGCCATGTGATTCATCTGAGATAAGGCTATCTCACAATTGGTCATCTGTCTCAACAACCGTTGTAGCCCAACTATATCTTCAGGTTGAAACTGTGGGCCTGACAGTAATTCGGAGAGGAAGGCATCCGAAACTGCATGAGGTTGACCAAATTGACTTCGTAAAATCCCCATGGCTTTCCTATAGCCTATCTCAGAGAGCAGTAGAATGCAATGCTCTATGGCCTCCTTGGCTGTACCAACACAATTATGTATAAGATGCATTAACCGTAGCTTGTCATCATTAGTTTGTTCTCCTATTAACATGTTAAAGCATCTTATAAACTTCAGGAACTTAGTTGGTGTACCATCGAACTTATCCATCTCAATTTGAGGCATTCTAATGGGGCTAACTGAGTTCAGGAGTGGTTGGACTGCTGTGGCAGTACAATTTGACTCTGGTAGGTCCTACGAGTAGTAGCTGGTGCTACCGTCTAGGAGTTGGCTTTACGAGGGATTAGCGCACGATCGAACGCGGTTGGCGGCGGTCTTCACTTGTTGAGAGCACTCGCTCTCCAATTTTCGTTGTTTGCTGCGAAGTCTAAGCTCTGGAACCTTTAGCTCTAGGATCTCTAATTCGGTAGCAACATCCGAGTCAACATCGGGGTCAACTACTACACTACCTTCCCTAGCAATATTATCAAAACCTAGGCTGACATGAGGGGTGTGTTTAAAATTATCAAAATCAGATAAGGAAACAGGTAGAGAAGAAACTTGCGGTGAAGATAAATTGACTCGAAGATATTCTTCAGCGTTTTCCAGTTTTCCAGACATATTACGAGTAGCCGGCATTGATAATTGTCCAAATAGATCTACAAGACCAATTTTGAGTACTGTGATTTTCTCCCGAAAGAAATCCGAAACGATAATCCAAACTATAGATTTAACCACACGTAGAGTGACGCGCAAAGTCCGAAATACAGGATATTCTGCAATACGGCACTTTATTACATAAAAATAGATATATAATATACAAACCTCAAAATGTGAGGTGTCTGTGGCTAAATGCCGTCAAATGCACAAACACTGTGCAGTCAATATGTAAAAACAGCAATGCTGTGTCAAGGTCAATCCACGTGTCGGTTCAAACGGCCCGCGAATGCCAAGCAAAGAATAAACAAATATGAACAAACAACTATCAACAGTAAAGCATACACTATAGGGTAAGGTCAGCAAATAATGTTTACGGAGAAGAAAAATAAGAACTATACATTAATAGAATGATAATAGAACAAGTAATTTAACTGCAGTTGTAAGCAAATGTCATTGTTATAAATTAACATATAAAAAATCATACTACTTACTAATGGCAAGTAGTATAATGTTGAACAAAGGAAAGATTCAGAATGAACAGGTAGGAAAGGAATTAACAACATATATATATTTTCCTCCATCGTTGTTGTAAACTGTAATTTCCCATATATCCGCTATAAGCGTTGTGTCATTTCCATTCTACGTGTTTATCGTTCTGAATTCATGAACAAAGATTCGGTGATCAACCTCTTTTCACCTAACTATTGCAGTTTTTGTTACTTTTACTTTATTCTACATCATTTGACTGTACAGGGTCAATCATTCTAGCTCCAGCTAAATCTCTAAGTTCTGATAATCTAACTGACCCCAGTCTACTAATTTAAACTATGTGGTTGACCTCAAGGCTTTTGATAAATTATAATATTTTTTGCGTTTTTAATATTTTTTGTGAGTTGAAGTTTCTTTATCAGTTTGATTGGTTTTCTGTGGAAGAGTCGCTAGCCTCACACCCAACGCTTCCACTTTTCCCGGGCTTAGAACCGGCTAGAAAACTAGTGAGCTTTCGAATGGTACTGAATATCGAATGGTCAGAAAGAATTAGCAGCAAGAAACTCTGGCATCCAACCATCCAAGAGCCAATTGCTCAACAGATATGTAGAAGAAAATGGAGATGGATTGGAAATCTGTTGAGGACACCATCGGATGACATCATGCGCCAGCCTATCGCTCGAGTGGAACCCGAGTGGGAAAAAATGACTCGTGTGTTGGTAACATGGAAGAGATCGTGGGATGCGAGAAGCAGATGGGAGATTATGAGTGCTCGTGGACTCGTTTGTAGAGGACAGCACCAAATCGAATAAAGTGGAGATGTGTTGTTGAAGCCATATGTTCCGCTTTGAACCCAAGGGAATAATACTATAGTATAGTAACAATGTTATCTTTTCGCATGTTATCACACATCATGGTGGGATGGAGTAAAAGCAATAAGAAGTGATATAGCTGAATGGGGAGAGGTCACACCAAACAAGTAGAATGGAAATGACACAATGCTTATAGCGGATATATGGGAAATTACAGTTTACAACAACGATGGGGGAAATATATATATATATATATAGATACGTATACACATGTATAGTATTGATTCGCAAAGATTTGATTGATTACAGGATTGATCACGAGCTGATATCAGTTAGAGAATCATTGGAGAACCTGAAAGTACTTGACAGCTGTTCCGTCCTAGTTTTGGACTCTTCAACAGTACGCACACACTGTGTTTCGAACCAAGGGCCTTCCGGTTATGGGGCGAGTTCGTGATATCACGAATTGGAAAAAATTTTAATTTAATGGACCATTGTGTTGGGTTCCAGTGGCTGGAGGATCCACGAGCCCGCCTTGAAACCGTAATTTCTTTGGTTAGAACTGTGGCGGGTGCGTACTGATGAGGAGTTCCAAACTAGGCTGACGAAACAACTGCTCAGTGCTCTTAGTTTCCTTTAGTCGTTTTCCTTCATAGATATATATATATTTAAAGGAAATTTTGAGGCCATTTTTCTCAACTCTTCTCAACTGATGTGATTTTAAGCAATAAGTTTTACTGCATCACTGTGTAAAATGAAATAAACGTGTGTGATATGAAATACTAGAGCAAAATGGTTTATTTTAAAAAAAAATGACTCACCATGTGCTTCAATATTAAAAATTGTAAATATATAAATATGACTTAAATTATTGTAACCAGCATTCAAGATTAGTGTAAGTAAGGTTTCGTTGAAATTGAATGTAACCGGCACACTGATAGATATGATAGCACTAGCTTGTACAGCTTTTTTCATTCTCCATTTCGATAAATGATCAGAGATTCGATTATCTTTAATTATTTTGTCAATAATTTTGAATTTGATAAATATACATTCAATTTCCTTTTCATGCAAATAATTCCAAATTAGTGTCTTAGTTGCATTCTACAGTTTATAATAAGTGAACATTGTGATAAAAAGGAAGTTAAAAGTTATGATAAGATTCAACTCACAATGGAATATAGGCACAATATTAACATTCCCAAAGACGCAAATACCTACTAGAAATTTACACTGAATGTTTCAGATCACTTCTTCAGACTCTGAAGTTATAAATTCGTGAATAGTGCTATCTTATCTCATATGGTATCTCACGGTATCAAAATACGGTTGTACGTTGAGTGTTAAACAGTTTGCCTAAAGGTGCGTGATTACGTCTGCCAGCCCCACACCTGAAACTGTAGGAGTCAATAGGCATAAAACTAATCTTTGTCTGACAGAAAATCACCTGCTTACTCTTTGTTTACCAAGACCTACTATGAGGTAATCAAGGATGTAATCAGTTCACATTTGCGTGCTTTACCACGCTCCTCTTATTCCTTTTCATTTAAGTTTACTTCACATCATTAGTCATATAATAATTATTTGTTATCCGCTAGATTCTCAACTCAACCTACTTTGTCTCTATAATTTGATAATGGTTCACTATTTGTCCACTTTACTATGTCATAATATTTGTTGTTTGTCAGTTGTCGAATTTGCATTCCGCGTTCCCCACTTGTTTTTTATACTGTGTGGTATTCATATTTCTGTCACACTAATAAATATAACCCAAAAGCCAGTGATACTTGTTATTTATTGATTATTAATACACTGATATGTTTGAACTATGACATTTGTGGGGATTTGTATGAATTTAAGATCAGTTTCGAATTTGATCAGGGATTGAAATCAGTTAGAGACAAGCTTAAAGCCAGGTATTACTGGACATCTATTCCATCCTGGTTTGGGATTCTTCGGCAGCAGGCACCCGCGGGGGTTAGGATCCATCACCTTCTGGTTACAAAGCAAGCTCACTGACTATTGAACCACTTGGATCGGGCTAAATGACCAACTAAAACCAAACTAGGACGAAATAGCCGTTCTGTAATCCATGGTTATCAGTTATTCTCAATCCGTAATCAAAATTGGGAAAAATTGAATTCTTACAAATTAACTCTTGAAAATGAATTTCGGCTGTTGCATTTCGTTACAAACCAGCATCATTTATAAAGATCATTGAAAGCCGGGAAGCACTACGCAGCTATTTTGTACTGTTTTAGGACTCCGTTGAATTGTAGCCCATGTTGCTGGACGGTAAACGAGCTTGATCTTGTCACCTGACGGTCCTGAGCTCAATCGTTAATATGCTGATGTCTGTCTGATGTGGAAGAATCTCGAAGCATTATCAAACAGCTCCACGGTACTCCGTGGTTTTCAATGATCTCTCTCACTGATGTTGGTTAGTGACAGAATCTGATGGTTGAAATTAGTTAGTGTGTCGCTTATTTTTCATTCACATTTTATTATTATATGTTTTTATTTGCACTCGGTTGACAATGTCAACCAACGGACTCAGTCTGCATCAAACAAAGGGCTAGATACATTACACTAGTTACCAACTGGTGTCCAATAAAAAGGACTATAAGCCCATCTTGTACGTGTAACCCAGTACAGTTTCTGACATAGTTCTTTTTTTTTCTTCGTTGGCTACTATATTCTAATATTTGTGCATTTATAACTGTAGAGACTGAAGAAGAAGAAGTTAATAAAAGCAACTGTTATCTCAGAAAGTTTTCCTGTTCTGCATACACTGTGGGAATATTTATATTACTTATTGTTCTTTTAGTCACAGGATAGTTATAAAAGGTTTTCATAAATTAGGTGAATAATTATGATCACTACAAATTAATTTGTTACTTAGGAGTGAGCAGTGTCGTGTGTCTACTCTTCTGTGTTGACGCCATCTGAATCCTATGAGTCAACACTGGAATGCAATCAGCAAGCTAGGTGACTCGATGTCATAGCGAACTCGGGTGAGATGTTAAATTGTGGAGCCATTCACAACTGAAACAGATTAGTACTGACATCATTCCATCCTTGTTTAGTATATTTCAACACTTCTCATCAATAATCACAAACTGCATCTGTTAATCCTCTAGTCTATTGTTGCCACGTAAAAGCGTTTTCCGATAAGCAGTCATGAATCATGACCAATAAGGACTGAATGATATTATTTACGAGTAGTGCAACCAATGCAGCGTTTATTACCTTAAACCTTACTTAGTAACAACTGAATAGTGATAGTCTTATCCTTCAACTTGATGGCCTGAATTAGACAGTTGTTTTTGTGAGATAGTTTGAGCCATTCTGTAGGAAGCCTTGGACCTAGATTTTATGCTAGTTGGCAATTTCCAACAAGGTGCATCTTTGAGCTTGGGGGGGGGCTCCTGTGTCTTATGACATTCGAACCCGAGCCATTCAGTTAGAGAAGCTACCACTGAGCTATTCAGGCTGGCGAGGACTAAATGCATGACATTAAATGCTATCTAGTGTCCGATGAAAGCATTTATATATATGTATGTATTTATGGATGCCCAAAATCCGCTTCTGGAGAACTGAGGCAAAATATGAATTTCATACTTTCCAGTTTCGGAAATTTCTCCGCATAATCTTAGCCTTTGATATAAATAGATATTAGTAAACTCTGTTTATTCACTCAAAACAATACTTGATTTTATCGTCAGTTGTTAGTTTGTTAGGTTTTGATTGGTTTCAGGGTATGCGTAGTCTCGACCTAACATCAGATAGAAGGTGTTGTTATTTTCCAGTTTAGGAATCTTTGTGAGTGCATACTTAAGAACCGGAACATTCAGATTACGAAGCAAACTCGTTATGGGTTCAGAAATGGATTTGAAAATTCAGTGACGGATGAATTTTCAATTTCGTCATTTCGTGGTATAGCTCCCTGTCATCCAAAACTGACTACAAGCACCTGTCTTCACACCGATTTCATCATTATTATCATTTATAGAATGCATTTAGCCTCCACTGAGGTCTGTCCGAATGCATTGATTGGTCCCATCAGATTACACTCTTATCACTTAGTAGACAGAGCTACGAAAATTAATAAGCATCCAGATCATAATTTGAGTATGTTCAAATTGGTGCGTTTCACGGGATTTTCACTATCACAGACAGATATTTCTTAACTCACCATATTTTTCCCTTCCACTGACAGTGCCTTATATATATGTGGTGCATAGTTTTCGAGCAGAGGATAGCCTGCTCGTATGCTATTACTGATCTAAAATAGAGAAAGACAGAAAACATAATTTTAACATCACACTTTTAGAAGAAAATTTCATCTACTCTAGTGAATATTCTTATCAATATTAGAATCATGTTGATTAAAATGGATGATTTGTGGTTTAGTATTCTGTGGCTTTGTGGCATAATCCTATCGATAAATTATGCTTAAACATGCATATTTAATACACCAGAGAACAAAATACCCCCGTTCAGGTAATTAAACCATTTGGCCAGAGGTAATTGGTCTACTGAAGCTAATTGAGAGAGGATGTACCATCGTTTCCATGCCAAACACCTAAATCAAGTGGCTAAGCCTGAGTCACAATACACTGATATGCTTCACACCTTTTTCGAGCAAAAAGACAATAAAGATACACTTGTGATATATCTGTGATGCTAAAGTTGGTAATGACAACCGTTCATGCGATTAGACACCATAACCGCCAACAACTTTTCAGTCGAAAAAATGAAATGTAAAAATTGTAAAGTGACTGCAGCAGTACTGAAGTGTGTTGATGACTCGTTGCCGTTAAAAAATACTAATCTAATATATATATATATATATATATGGAAAATAAAAGGTTTCCAGGAGAGTCTAACATAGTTTACATGGACATTGGATTTTAAAAGAAACGACATCCAGCAAAGAGTTACTGTCTCAAGCTATAAAACCTCACATATGTAGCAAACTGTCTTAGCAACAAAATGGATATTTCCAAAAATGCTTCATTAGAAGTGTAAATTTTAGATAAAAATTGAACTGGATACAAGTTAAAACTAGTGGTAATGAGAGGTAGAAATTTGATAAGGGGTGAGGGAAGTAAATAATACAACTAGAACCGAAAAGTACTTGAACAGCGAGGAAAATTTTCTTTTCGACAATTCATTTTTATACGCTATACAATCATAATTATATTTGACGACGAATTGATAAGACCAATCAGATACTGGTAAAATTTGTCACTCTACCTCTGTTTATGGGCCATTTTTTTTTATTTGAATGTCTTGTTCGGAATATATATATAGATATATATATTCCGAACAAGACATTCAAATATTATGTTATGGTATAATATCGTTGTTTCTGTTTATAAGTATATGGAAAGAAAAATGACACAGTTCTTGACCTGATTAGACGTCAGAGATAAAAGTAAAAATCAGCTTATTTTTCTAAGCTTATGACTTTCAACCAACCGTTAACGGATCAGGTCTTACAACTCGCTGATGTTTGACTGCTGAAATATAGCTCATTGTAGAAGGTGTACAGATGTCGATTCGATTTTTAAGCTGTTTTTAGGATGATAAAGTAATGTTAAGCAAATAACCTGTGGCTATGTGTCTCAGTGGTTTAAGCATTGAACTTACAGCCACTGACTCCTGGTTTCAGGCTGTACCCCACCTGCCTTTTATAATCATTCTAAAATTGTATGATGAACACTAATACGAAACAATTTTCACCCATTTATTTGGGTAACAAGTTATGTCTAACAATCGTATGCCTACAGTAATAATAATTTACTCCTGAATACTCAATAAAAAGGCAATTTCTGAACACCTGATTGAATTTAGAAACCAGGAAAACCCACTAAATAGTTTCATAGTCATCTACAGAATACAAGGGAATCTTGCTAAGGCAGTACAAATAAAGCTTGTTTAAACTGCAAAAACAATGACGATTCACAAGTTGAATCCCCAAAGAAAAGAACTTCGTTCAGTCACTAAATCTATAATTGACCTGATCTGTCTTAACACCTGATCTGTAATTTTAAGTTTATGTGCTTTGATGAATGGAATATTTTCATATTGAGTCATAAGAAAAAGGCGCAAACAGCGAAGAAAATTTTCTTTTCAATGATTTATTTTCATAACCTGTACATTCGTTATTATGTGTAATGAAGACCAATCAGATACTGGTAAGATTTGTCCGCAAAAGCGTGTTACGTAATGTAAGGTCCAATCTAGAGGAGGTGACTAATTGAAAATTAGAAAAGGGGCAGAAGTTGGAATGACACAATAAGTGGGAGAAAATGACTAGCCAATATAAATGTGAAGAGTGGACAAGAACTAGCATAAAGACAATAGTGTTTCCATAAAATCCGTATGAAAACGCAAGTTATTAATAAACAGAGGTAGAGTGACAAATTTTACCAGTATCTGATTGGTCTTATCAATTCGTCGTCAAATATAATTATGATTGTATAGCGTATAAAAATGAATTGTCGAAAAGAAAATTTTCCTCGCTGTTCAAGTACTTTTCGGTTCTAGTTGTATTATTTACTTCCCTCACCCCTTATCAAATTTCTACCTCTCATTACCACTAGTTTTAACTTGTATCCAGTTCAATTTTTATCTAAAATTTACACTTCTAATGAAGCATTTTTGGAAATATCCATTTTGTTGCTAAGACAGTTTGCTACATATGTGAGGTTTTATAGCTTGAGACAGTAACTCTTTGCTGGATGTCGTTTCTTTTAAAATCCAATGTCCATGTAAACTATGTTAGACTCTCCTGGAAACCTTTTATTTTCCAGGTTACTTATTTGACACATTACCATATCCTTTAAGTACAAATTATTATTGTTTCCTTTAATTCCTTGAGGAACATAGGGCTTCAGCCGCACGTCTCCATTGCGTTCGGCCCTCTGCCGAGGTTTTCACTTGGCTTTACGTCTGCCCACATGCTTTCATCTCATCTTTGCATGACGTCTTCCATGCCGCCCTTGCAGTGATAACCAACTGGCCACTTCCCGTTCGGATTCCACTCTAGGGCCTGTCTTTTGATGTCACTTGATGGTTTCCTCAGAGTATGGCCAATCCACCTCCATTTATTCCTGCAGATTTGTTTCACAATCGGTTCTTGGTTGGTTCGCTCCCAGAGATCCCTGTTGCTGATCTTTTCTGGCCATCTGATCTTGAGTATTGAGCGAAGACAGCTGTTGATGAAGGCCTGTAGTTTGTTCGAGGTGCTCTTCATGACGCGCCAATTCTCTGATCCGTATAGTCGCACTGATTTCACATTGGAGTTGAAAATTCGCATCCTGTTTTTCATGCTGAGTGCTGTTGACCTTCACACAGGCTTGAGAGTAATGAAAGCTTGCCTTGCTTTCCCGATCCTGTCTTTAATATACTGATCAGTTTCGCGTGTATTTGAAACGATGCTTCACAGGTAGGCAAGTAGTTGAAGGAGGATGCTTCTTTCAGATTTCTCCCATTTATGCTGATTGTAGTCTGTTATTTTTGTTGTTGTTGCTGTTGGCCAGGAATCTTCATCACCACTATTTTCTCTATGTTCACCTGAAGGAAGTCCAATCTTTGATACTTGTTCTGCAGACTTTTCACTTGCATATCTTCCAGTTTTTTGGAAATCAGACAAATATCATCGGCGAAGTCCAGACCCTCCAAGTTTTTTGTGAGGGTCCATTTTATTTCTGTCTCCTCACTGCTTGCTGTCTGTCGCATTATCCAGTCTACCGCAATCAGGAAAATCATTGGAGATAGTAGTCAGCCTTGTGTTACTCCCGTTTTAACTAAGAAGGATTCCGTGAGTTTCCCGTTGTTAATTACTTGGCATACAGCATTGTTGGATAAGATGTATAATCGTTGGCGGCAAATATAAGTGAAATTTCACAAATATGTTTAAACAATACTACTTACTATAGTGCAAAATGAATTTCCCATTGTATTGTATAAATTTTTCATTGGATTATTTATATATTCCATAAATTTTAGTGGTGCTGAGAATATATCATGACGGAGTGTGGCTGTGATTTCAAATTGCAGAATCACTTTATAAAATTAAAAGAGAAATTAAATAGTGAAATTAAATGTGTTGAGTAAAACAACATTAAGGATGCTTTTGTTTGCCATATTTAGATCATTCTGTTAGCTTCAGCAGAAAAGCGACTATCCAACATCAAAAATATTATCAAAGAAAATATTGAAGTTTGCCTGGCAGACTCAAAACATATGGTATCTTAAGGCTGATTGATATCTTCGGCACTAGTATCTCGAAGTGGCAAGAAAAATAGCACTTCTAGTTAAGGACAAATCAGCTAGTGATATTTAGTCATAATACTTCCAAAAGAATCTTATCGAAGGAGTTATTTTACAATTAAATATTTACTTCGAGCAAATCAGAAATATAAATCGATTGTTCATTTAATTTACCTTCACGAATCGGTGGGTGAACTTCCGTTTGCATTGATGATGTGGTGGTTACTAGATCAAGTTCTTCTCCAGGAGTGCTGATTTTTCTAAAACCTGAAATTATATACATATATATATGCATAATACGTGGTAGATAAGGGCAAATCCGAAAGATAGGATAAGTTATTGCGAAAAGTTACTAAACCTTAAGTCACTGAGAATGAACGTGCATCCTGTATTGTTTATAATCCCACATGTTCTCTAAGTGAGACTAGCCTATCGCTTGCAATCCTGGTTGTTATGATTCACTTTATATGATATTAAGAAGCTTTTTAACTCCTCTCGGATTTAGGATTTTAATGAACACAACAATATCTCCGGAATTTGATTTTCAAAGAATGACAATTTATTATTCTAAGAAATACGTGAAGCTTGACTGACTGATTAAAAGTAACATATCAGTCGCAGTTGTACTACAATTCAAGTGATCACAACAGAAAATTATAGATCGGAAAAGGTTCATTTAACTGAATCAAGTTATTTGACTTACCATAGAACTGTATATCGACTAGTATAACTCCCGATGTCACATTTGTTTTCCTCCATCCGTCATTCAAAATTATTGTGAGCTCATCATCGCTTAGGTTAGATATTATTTTTGAGTTAAATTCCACTGTTATTTTAGCAGTAACACCTGTTATATTAGGTATCACAGTTACAGGCATCGTGCTATAATTCCAATTGGTTATTTGATTTTGGACAAGAGTTTTCAAAAATGTGGTGTTTAGGAAAGTGATATTCAATGAAGTACTTAAATTATCCATTTGTAAGCTTTTTGACACCTTATGTGATAAGAAAAAGGGAATTCAACACATTTAAATAAAACTTGCTGAAGAGTTAACAAAATGCTAAGCAGTGTAATCATAAGTTGGCTTATGAAGAAATGTACTTTTTGAGTAGAGGTAATATGTGTAGGAATTAATCGCAGTTTTATCCTAAAACATTTTACGACACACACGCTGTGCAAGATTACACACCAGACTTTGTTGATAACTCTTTGATGTTCAAAGCCATATGTCAGCGCATTATCGCTTGAAATTAAGTCACGCGTAGATAAAGGCTATCCCGGTCCAGAACAAACAAAAAGCCGGTCACTGTTTCTACGGTACTATTAATAAACAAATCAATAATCTGTATCTACAAGTTCACCTGCAGCTGCGGTGACACCTATATAGGTAGAACCAACAGAATGTTCCAATGTCGTCGGAAAGAACATGTTCCAAAATGGCTACTAAATCACATAGAAAATCCCAATGCCAGTAATCTGAATAGAAATCCAGCATCATCCATTGCAAAACACTTATTAATGTCAGGTCACAAAATAAATATTAATGACTGTTTTACAATTATTTCACATAACTCTAATTCAAGGTTATTGAAGGTGATGGAAGCACTTTGGATAAATCACATACAGCCTAAACTGTGTGTACAAAAATCAATAGACTTCAATCTTCGCCTACCCTGGACTACTTGACCTATCTAAATATGATTGGTCATTAGTATGTACTTTTGTTTTTTATTTAACTGAGTAATTGTCATGAACTTTATTTTATTATTGTTAACCATGTTAGTTGTAAAGCGGTTGTAAAGAAACTACGAAATGATATCATCTCGCGAAATTTGTCTTCTTAATGCCTTATTCAAATCAATAATTATATATACAACAGACCTTAACGGTTTCAAGAGTACAAAGCACAGCGCTTAACAGAAAGCCAAAATTGCGAACTAGCCAGAATCAGACACGACCATTCAGGTAAGCAGTCAGTAGAAGAATGAACCGAAGTAAGAGATAGACAGAGCATAGGCACAAAGATAGAATTTAATTGGTTACTTAACCAGGTAGGCTGGTACAGATGAAGATCAATTAATAAGATAAACTCGACAGAATAGTACAAAGTAAGACATGGGTGAGCAAAATAACAGTTCACAAAAATACTCTGATTGGGTCATGAGTTCAACTGTCTGACCAAACGGATCGATGTAAAAACACACACAGTTCATTAAACAAGGGGGAATAGACACGCTAGGCAAGGATAATTGGGTTGCAACAACGCTAGGCTGATCCGGGACAGGTTGACTTGATTCAAGGATGGGAACTGAATTGATCTTACACCATATATTCTGGGTTGAAGTATTGATGGAAACACCATCAATCCTGGGATTTAAAAAAATCAAGCTGACGAGATATGCATCCTGGATGCAATTTCTAGCTACTATCGATGAAAAAATAATATGCATTTAGAAGATGATGCCAGTGCAGTGTCCATCATAAAAAACGATATAATCTAGGCATACATCAGTCTAGGGAATAGAAACAAAAACAAATTCAAAACAAAAATTCCCTTTAAATACCAACTGCAACAAACATAATCAGTATGTTATCAACATGAACCAAGGTCAGGAGATGCAAAACCAGTTTCAGTGGTCTTTTGATGCCTTTTACGGAAAGTCGATTCACATTGTTACCTCTTACATTCAAACGTTCCAATAGACTGCAGACTATTTTTGAAGCTCCTCTGAAACACAAACATTTAACTTATTTGGCCATTATTACTGAAGAGTGAAATCTGTCACACGTGTTCCGTCGTGTTTGACATACCGTTAGTTATATTCCGATATGATTGTCACAAGTGGGACTAAACGTATCCGCCTACATTTCGAGATAATAAATAGTCATTAATCATTATTTTACTGTAGTAAATTAATAAATAGAGATAAGGTTATGGCACGTGAATTGTCACTGCTTTTGTGGTTTGTAGAAATTTGATTCGTATTGCTTTAGCAAGATTGATTAAAACGTATTCTGTAGATTACTTTGAGGTTACTTTGTGGGTTTGCGTGGTGTCCTGATTCGACCAGCTGTTCCAGAAAACAGCATTTGTGGGACATCTTTTTTCTCCATTATAAAACCATGAGAGTATGTTCAATGACACGTTTGGATAGCAAACGCTGGATCCTAGATTCACAGGTTGAGCAAGTGAACTGTTAGATGTACACTGATGAGGCCAAAAGTGGTAGCTTATTCTTCACGTTCATGAGAATCACTGGTTTTGTGGAGTCAGTTGGAGAAAGATAACACGTTAGATTTAATTATTATTATTATCATAATCTCTTTAGTTCCAAGTGAAACTTGGGGCTCCAACAGCACATCTCCATTTCATCCCATTCTCTGCAGTCCTGTTCACCTGCCTTCACGACAGACCACAAACTCTCAACTACTCCTCTCAGCCCACCATCTCATCAATATCACAATCACACCAACACACAACTCATTGTCTCCCACTCGGCTTCCACTCGTTGAACTGCCTAGCGAGTGATGTCACTCAATGTTCCCCTGTCCACCTCCATCTACTGCATATTTGTTCGACAATCGATTTCTTGATTTGTTCGTTGCCTGATTGGTTCCTCGTTGCTTACGATTTCTGACCAGCCATCTTATATTCAGTGATGAGCGAAACAGGTTGTTGACGAAAGATTGCAGCCTGTCAGAAATGCTTGTGATGACGTGCACGTAAAGTTTCGGAACTATGCAGAAGTGCTGATTTGATGTTAGTGTTGAAAATGTGAATATTCTTCTTGACGGAGATTGTGGTAGATTCGCACACTGATTTCAGATTAATGAAGGCGTATATTGCTTCTCCGATCGCACCTCTGACATCTTAATTCTTACTGGTTTTGGTTGAAACGACGCTGCCTAGATAAGTGAAAGAAGTGACTTTCTTTAGATTTCTCGCATTAATGCGGCTGGGTGCATATTGTTTGTTACGTATCTTAATCACCTCTGTTTTCTTTGTGTTCGGTTGAAGTGCTTTCTTCACTGGTTTCCTCTTCTGTTAAACTTTGGTGTTGAGTTTCATTAACTATTTGTTGGTTTAAATAGGCAACCCGCACGACTGTTTATTTTGAAGTATAGCTAGGAACCTAAAAATATTATGTAACAGTTTGACTATTGTGTAAATTGTGAATAATGAAAAATGCCGATAGGAACATAAAATTTAAAAATACAGGATTGTAAGGAAAGATGTCTTTTCGGCGATTTCATCATGGACTTTGTACAATCGGATTTATATATACAAGGACACACATCAATGCTGTTAGTACTGAATCTCACGTAATAGAGAAACTGATTAAAGGAGATAACTAGATTCAACTGGATATGAAAATATGAGGGTGTGAATATAGAATCCAAGGGGAATAGAAACAAATTTATACAGGATTTGGAAATTTTTTCTTGAGGTGTGTGCACTAGATGAGTATGGAAACAGCGTTACTAACAAAGTATATGAATATCTACAGAGGACAGTGTGTTTTCGACTACTGTGTACTGGAGAAGCCTTCGCCACATTCATCGAGAATTTGGAGCTATGTGTTTAAGAAAAACAAGACTAGCCTTTAGGTTTATCATGTATCTAGTTCAGCTTGAATCCTTAGTAAACGTTTTTATTTTTTAAATTCCTTCATATATTTTCATTTTCATTTACACATGTCTAGGAAAGACCTATTTCACATCTTACAAAACAGTTACCAAATCATGTGTCATTCTGCTTCTATTTCCCTTGTAATCTATACTCACACCTTCATATTTTCATATCAAGATGAACATTGTAGATATTTGGTGAATGAAGTGTCGAAAAGATATTTTAGGTGAGCTTCTTCTTCTTTCCTCACATGTGAATTATTATTGCCGTGTAAATGCATATCACAAGTGTTTTAACGTGAAAATTAAAGATTCCATGGACAAATTAAATTATGAAGTAATCAGCCTGTATATGTAGCCAGAATAATAATAGTTGTGGATCTTTATAATGTAGAAAGTTTGGCCAACACGGGAAGGCCAGATTCCACTGAGGATGGAGTTTGTAAACTTCAGCAAAAAATCACCAACGAAATATTCTTAAACGAGAAAACATTATAAAGCTGGCCAGTCGGTGACAAACATGATTTGAAGTGTTTGATTTGCCTATGAGGACTTTAGTTCTCATTGCTGTTACGATGCGATATCTGCACTTAGTTATGAATGAAATACTGTCGACTTTTCCAAGAAATCTGTCTTTTTCCGAAATGCAAAAATGCTACATTAGTGCAGCAGTTGTAGGTACAAAGAAATATCTTGTCAGACAAAACCGGAAGTGTAATGAACACTGTAGGTGAGAAATATTAAACCTTGGTCATGTTTAACTACATACAAGTAGAGATAAAGAAGAAGAAATCCTAGTTGTTTTCCCTAGTTAATTGGATTAAGCACTAGGACTACCATCTAATAAAGAATCAAGGATTCGAATCCCAAGCTACATGAGAAAGTAATTGCTCACATTAGCTCTCCCAGAATATGTATGGCTCATAGAATGGTATAATCAAAATCTTTTTGCGGTAACTCAATACTAATCACATGTTAAAATGAATAAGATTAATTCTGTTTATGCTGTAGTTAAAACTCACCAGAGAAACAACTTGTCCGGATAAATTTGTATACAGGAAGCTTAAAGTATCGGTTAAATTATCTGACCATTCTACTGGCATCAAACTTTCCGCTGTATACAGAATGGCATGAATATCTCCGATAAGATAATCTAAAGAATACAGTGAAGTAAGAATAAGTGGAAGTAACAATTATGTGTGCTAATGTGAATTGATGAAGAAACATACAATAAGCAGTTTTTACAAAATATCACTTGATGCCTTTGTTCAGACAGTACTAATCTTATTTTTCTGTTCATTCAGCCTTCTTAAAATAACACACTAACGTTTACCATATGATTAGGTCAAGCGTATTCACTGCTCAATCTACGGCAGTCTTCACAGAAGACCATTTAAGAGGAGGAGTGAATCTATTTAATTATATTATCAGATGCTTGATAAATAGTCATTTTAAATGAGTAGCCGAATTTGATGATCTTTTCAATTAATCAGCCATTTATTTTATTGAAATAATACCCACATACAATTGTTGGGTAACAAAAGTTGTGTAGTTAAATATATTTCACTTGAATAACTGATAGTAATACCTTGTAGACATTCACTTAGATAGATGTCATCGAACTTACAACTGATACTTGTAAAGATTACCTAATAAGAAGACAGTTACTTCTGATTTGGTCATATGCAACCAATGTGGTAAGAAAGTGGACAAGTTCCTGTGTATACCAGTAATTGCGACGAAACGACCCCAGGACTTTCAGAACTGCTCTCTTGAAAAAATATCACTAACGACAGTATTAAACATAGAAAGAAAGTCTAAATATGACTGCCTACTAGAATTCCCGGGCTTCCTGAATTTTTATTCAATGCAGTGCATCACATTTCCTTCAATTCCTAATATTTCAATCCTTTTGATATGTCCTTGAGTTGCAAAACGAACTCATGCGCACCTTTAGCTGGCTTTCGTACTACAAGTGCTCGTGACGTAACCACAATATCATGAAATATGCAAAATACAATCAGAAGTGTGGAAACGTAAACCGATAAAAGGAGTAGTAATTTCCGGAATCTCCTACCTGAAGATAGAGAAATACACTTTGGATTTACCTTCAATTTCTGTTTCCGTGAAGACAACTTCAGTAGAACTTGCAGATGGACTGATAGAAAGCGTTTCTATTGTAGCAGTAGTAGAGGTAGTTATTATCACATAACCTTTGAAAAGGAATAAGATGTAGTCCAAATAAGCCTTTAGATGGTATGTTAAAATTTTAGAAATAAATTAAGAGTGAAAATTACTTACTCCTCAGTAATTAAAGTCCATGGAAATATCGCCAATAAGGAAGAGTTATCGCACCTCAGTGGATTTAATCAGTAGGAGATTTACTATCAATTAAGACACTGACTTTGATTAACCCACAGACCTACATTTTCTTCACATATTGGATCAACGTTGTATCATGATTTTTCCTCTGCCAACTCCATCTTCGCATCCTAATCCTGGTGTGACTAATCATGTATGTGTAGGGACCATTCAGAACCTGCAACGTATTCACGAAATATAATCCCAGTCTAATATTTCCCCCCCTCAATATACGCACTCTTGGAAATTCACACACACTAGTGGAAGGAGACAGTGCACGTGAAAACAACCTTATGTCTTAGGAATTTTTTCCCCTTTAATAAGAAGGCATGCTGATTATGTTTCATTGTGCTATATTAAGTACTGTGTAGTTCGAATAATCATATCTATATTTTGAAACTTCAGATTGAAACGCAATTAAGCTAGGATTTTTTAAACGATAGGTACGGCGTTAGAATCACAGTATTGACACTATCAAGCACTTGATTTACAGGTACATTTAACTGATGCGTCCCAATTTTAATGTAATAGGCAGTCTTTTTTCTACCTCTTGTCATTTACCAATATAACAAAGTAATTTATTCTGACTGGTATACTCTATTAATTTTGACGTCAAATGCATAGGAGAATTTAGTACGATGTAGTCTATCACATTGCAGGAGCGCAGATATCTGGCATAATCTACGTTATTTTATCCGAATAACGTTAGAAATCTACAGCATGTGTCCATCACAGTGCACCACGTGGCTAAATATAACCATACAAAGTTTTTCTATTTATCATATCAAGCTAGAGCACTAAATTTTCGGTAGCGGTAGTTTTCTTATTTTTACGGGGTGCGGTTGCTGGCACTACGTCAAACCTTCCATCTTCATTGAATTTACTGGCAGCTAAGCTGAGTTTAGCGGCACATCGACTGAGGATCGAACCTCATTTAGTGTGTTAAAGTCTAATGAAGTGGGGAAAGGAGGGATAGGTTAAAACTGAATCCTTATTTAGTGAATTAACTGAAATTGCGTAAAGTAGAAATGTTTTAACTCTTGTTCTAGATATGTAGAAAATTCTACCGATGCGAAGGAAGAATGAGAACTATAAAAATCGACTTTCGAAGTTTTGTAGTTATATTTGATCTGAACAACAAATTGTGTTAGAAATGTTTTCCAGTAAATAATGTTTCACTGTGTGGTATATCCAGTACAAAAGTGATACGGAAAAATAAGAATGTTACTGAGCTTATAAACATAGAGTACAATAAGTTTTTCTTCATACATTCTCATGTGATAAAAACATAGATTAATAATATTCCCTTCGTTTCCAAGTGGAACGTAGGGGTTCGACAACACATTTCCACTTTGTTCCATTCGGCGATGTCCTCTTCATCTGGCTGGCCACATGATTGCCCATAATCTCTCATCGCCTTCAAGTCACCCTAGGACGACCCACTCGTCGCTTCCCATTTGCATTCCACTCAAGGACCTGTCGCGCGATATCATTCGACGGTCTCCTCAATGTATGCCCACCTACCTTACCGCCCACATATTTCTTCACTGATCGTCTCTTGGTTGTTATTTTGTTGCCAGAGTTTCGTATTGCTAATTCTTTCTGGCCTGCTCACTGGCCAGCCATTTGATCTTCAGTATGGAGCCAGCAAAAGAGGCAGCTGTTGACAAAAGTCTGCAGTGGCCCACTGGAAATGCTTTTCGTGACACGCACGCCATGTTTCTGACCCATACAGAAGAAGTGACTGACTTCACATTGGTGTTGAAAATCCGAGTCTTCTTCTTCACGTTGACTGAGTGCAGATGTCCAAAGTGATTTCAGGTTGATGAAGACGTATCTTGCCTTTCCGATTCTGGCTGGCTTTGACATCTTCATCCGTTCCGACCACCTGTGGTTGAAACAGTGCTGCCTGGATAAGTGAAGGAAGTAGACTCAGTTAAATCTCTCTCGTTGATAGTGAATAGTACTAGTTGTTGTTGCTGTTGTCACTGGTTGGTCAGTTATCTTCATCACCTCCGTTTTCTCCATTATCACCTGGAGTCCTGTCTTCGCCACCTACCAGCCTTGTCAGCCAGTTTGTTGGTTTTCGCCTGCAAGTCTTCGAGTCTGTGTGACATTGAATATAAATCATCCACACATGAAATCCAGATCTTCTAGAGTCTTCTCATTTATCAGTGCGGCGTATTTCTGTCTTCTCACTCCGTGTGCACAGTTTGACGCATAATCCAGTCGACTACAATTAAGAATATCATTGGTGATAATAGGCAGCCAGCCAGTCCTCTCTTACTCCTGCATTCACTTTGAACGCCTTGCTAAGTTTTCCGTTGTGCATCACTTGGCACGTACCATAGCCAGCTGTTGAATGAGGTTGATAAAGATTTGGGCATTGCACGCTATAGTGTTCAAGTAATTTTCAACTTACTTCTTGTTCAGCTTCGCCTAGTATCCTAGCTAGCCGAATTATTAAGGGGTCCCAAGAATGGGTAAAGAGGGAGGTTTGGGTGAGGTGCTGGCGACCCTACCCCACAAAACCAATCAAACTGCAACGGAAACATCAAAGCACAATAAAAGTAATAAAAATACAGAAACATAGATTATCACTGGATAAAGCACACATGTTTCGAAGAGATATAATTTTCCAACTAATATAAATTTTGAGAAAAATTTATTTCATAATAACTCCTTCCTCATTGTACTTATAAAATATAACAGCTAATAGATACTAGAATACAATAGTATGAATCACAATATTACGATAGATAAGCTTTATAACAGTTCTGAGTGAGTCGAAAAATAGTAACAGTGTGATCTAAAATCTAAAATTATCTGGTACGAGTAAGAAGATAGGACATGAAATGAAATGATAAGACATGAAGATTAGAAACAATTGCTTCTGTGAGGATAATATTTATGGCCAATTTAGACACAGAAAGTGAATGTACATCACTCTGATACATGGGCTGAACTTATAGATAGGGAATTCTATGGTCTGAGCTATGGATAGATTAGTTGAAGCTTAGTATATTACCATGAATTCTAATTTTTGTTTTGACCTGGTTTTCACAATTCATCGGTTGGGGTAAGATGGAACTGTTCATTTACCAACCTACTTACTCCTTTTCCTAGCCAATCTGATGTGAATCCATCATGGAAGAAGAATAAATTTGTCTGAGCATTGCCTGTATAACTAGTCACACAGAAGCAACTAAGTATGTATTCATAAACATGCTATTTAGTCATTTTCTTTGATCTATTCCTATAAGTGCACATTTTGAAACCACATCCACAGTCAGGCTATACAACGTTCCATCTTTTAATTCAATCCCATTTTGTTGCATATGACCGCTTAGCTTGTGTCTATGTGTGTGTTTGTATGAAACTGTTGAGATCGTTGATTTCTACTCAAACATTTCTTGTTTTGAAAGTTTACTTTGTATTTTAAGTTGAGGAAAAAAGCTATCACAGGTTGTTTTCGCGCACAGTACTGCAAGTGCTACAACAGATATTTCAGCTAAGCGAAACAGCTGACGTGACACTTATGAAACAGTCAAATGTAACTTCTGACATGGTTACAGCATTCGTCTAGACATGCCATATGAAACTAAATTCGTAACTGACCGCCCTCATCCTATCTATACAAGTATATTGATATGGAAGTGCGGTAGGTTTGATATGCAGAGACTTAAATGCTTGTCTGTATTTTTGAATTATACCCATGTGTGTTGCAAACTTAGTCTTCAAAGTCGCATAGGAATAATAAGAATACAGGAGGTAATCTTTTTCATTCAGCAATCAAGATTTAATTAGCCCAAGAGGAGATATAAGTTTATAATGAAGACAAAATCGACTTTTACTTTATGTAACAAAAATCATGAACTTACGCGAAAATTGAATATTATCTAAAACTATTCCAGAAGTAACATTCAACTTTCTCCATCCATCATGGAAGATCATTGTAATCTCAGAGTCATTTAGTCGTGAAGCTTTAAGTGACATGAATTCCATTGTAACTGTCACCAATACACCTTGATCCGTACTGATTAATTGAGAGTGGATGGCAGATTGGACAAATGTTGTGTTAAGGATATCGAATAGTAGCGAAATTTCCCTATCACCCAACCGTAAACTTCTTGAAATCTAATGGTAACAAGGAAATATTGAAGGAAAATTAACCTGATAGTGAAACGTTTTGTACAAACTGAGTGTTCCCCAGTGTTTATTAAAGTACTTTTCCGCCCATTAACTGTGTCAATTTCTTCCCCTAAACAAAGACGATCACTAGTACTCACATCACAAAATAAATGACATCTTTTCAAGAAACCAATGTTAGTAAACAATGGATACTTGTAGTAGTAGTGTGGCATGTGCTACTGGTGAGATTTATCAGTAGTATACAAAGAGAGTTTCATCGGCATAGAAATATTAAATAGTAGAAGGGTAGATTTAGTGTCAGAGAAAATAAATGATGCAGAGTTGTAGAGATACATGGGAGACGTGAAAGGAACACAGAGAAACATAATATGAAGGTCAGAAGTAGCAGAACACGGATGATCTGTGCAACTAGTGATCTGCAGATGAGTTGCACATAATTTCGCTAACTGGAGATAAAAAATTCTTAAGAAACATTTCTTTACTAAATCTCTCGTCTTCTACCGTTACAGTAGTACCAATTCTGCGAATTGTTGTCACCTAGTTTGAAGATACAGTCATTTTGAGACACAGAAGTATAAGTACGCCAATACACCTATTTAATCTTAGCAAGTCCATGGTTTTATTGGTTTATTGTCGAAAGTTTGTAGACTGCACTCATGCACGTTTCTTTGATAGCAAGTATCTTTACTCTTCACCGTCCAATGATAGTAATGAATGACTTAATGGGTCCAGTATCATACACATAGTCTAGTCCTTATCTTCCTATTGGGCTGTTGAGTATTTCTAATTGTATGTCTCCCCAGTTTGAGTGGGTTCTACACCATATGAGTAAACGGTTAATATTCTGTTCAGCTTATGAAACTGTCTCTACAGCTGCACCCAAGTCACTGTTAGCACACCTTTTGTAGGTAAACTAATTAGAAAAGATTTTGTGAATCCTCTAGACTGACAGTCTTATATACCTGCTACATTTGAGAATTATTTTAGAGACACTTAGCTTATTGTGAAAATGTTTCTGTTAACGAGTACAATTTCACCAGCGTAACTCGAATGTTGCGCACAATATGAACCAAAAATATTTAAAATAATTTACGTTATATTTTCTATTGAACAGAACATGCAGTGATTCGAGACCGGAAATCAGACGAAATAGAATTACCAAATGAATAAGGCCCACATTTCATTTTTGCACGTGTTTTAATTCTAAAGAATATATGACAAGTAACACCTGTTGACAAATTCATCACTTATTTGAATTTTTCTAATTAGATATAGTCAACTATAGTTTCTGAAATCCGGCTGTGTGATTTCAGTGAATCTGATGTAACTGGGATTTACTAGCAGTTGTTGGTTTTATGAGGATTACGATAAAAAAATCAGTATTAGTAAGAAGACCGTTAACAATCAAAAACAACTAGATAGGCATTACATCCTATTTTGGCAGTCTTGAACCAGGTTACGGGGTGATCACTTTTCTTTCTCACAGAAAGAATGAAATCCTATGACTCATAATTTTCAAATTATGTGAATCTGCCAGCCTATGCCAACTGCCCTCATACCCAATTGAACGGACTCTATTGTTCATCAACAGCTTGTTTTGTGAAACATTTTGGATGTTAATATGAATAGGATATTACAAAGCTCATGTGGTTTTGTATGCAGATGATTATTGGACGATGTTGATGATGCCATGATGCAAATTGTCAGAATTTAAAAATAATAAGCTGTCGTTTATTAAGACTGTGATCCGATTGTAAAATATTCTTGTCGCGACCAGATTGCTCTGGGTTCAGTCCTTCACGATGTCTACAGTTTTCAATGTCTAAGAATTCCACATGATAGGATGATATATTTTTTTCAATGACCATTATATTTTAATGGTTCGCTTCCAGATTACCTTTCTTAGAGAAGTTTCCCTATTAGTTATCTTCCTGGTGATTTATCTCTTCTCAGTAATATGCTCTGAAAACCCACTAAATGAATCATGCTGTTTAAGAAAAACTCTACAAAAAGCAGAAAACACCAACTGGGGACGATTTCAGTAATTGACTATAGAGATAAACACATTTGTAATCGTTTTACACCTAAGTGAATAGTTTCAATCATTATGGAGAAAATTTGTCTTGATGAAGTGTCACAGTGTTATACAGTAATATTTACTGATGACCACGTTTCCAGCACAATTTGTTGCTGCTCATAGTCATCATATCAAGGCAATACTCATACAACTTTCTAACTTCACTTATATAATTCCATTATTTCTCATCTCTTGATTTGATCGGTAGTAGTATTTTTCATATCTCTGGTATCGCCGATGAGTCATTAGTATTGTATGTGTTGGGTGTAGATTCTGTGAACATAGATTGAGTCAGTGATCAACCTCTCTCGCGCTCCACCTACCTATATTACTTTGTGGAATTTCAACTCTGTCACACCCTGTAGTGTGGTTGTGTGTTACTGCATGTAGTGCAATTGCTGAACTTTTTTCTAAATTACTTATCTTCGTGAGATCAATCATTCTAACCTTAGTTGAATTCTTATGTTCTGACAATCTGACTACTCCCGATCTACTAGTTTGACCTATGTAGTTTACCTAACTCACAGTCATGACAATGTATTTTGGAAATCATAATATTTTGTCCAATTGTGTCAACTTTCATGGTCATTTAACCTACAGAGCTTGTCTCTGAGTGAGTTGACAGGTTTAAATGACACCCTAATTCCTGCTTTATTAGGAATTCTACATAGTGTCTCAGATGTGCCCCCTTATATGATAAAACTTTTGTAGATGCCTTATATTCTTTCCTATTTATTTTATTATATCATTATTAGTTTCACCATTATTATTGTTTTGCTTTCGACGTTTTCTATTCTTAATGATGATTTTTCTAGGATAGTTATCTCACACCAGGGACAAGCTCTGTAGGCTAAAGGACCCTGTAGGCTGACACAATTAGACAAAATAATATAATTTACATATAAATTGTCATGAGTGTGAGTTAGGTAAACTACTAAGGGAAAAATAGTATGTGAGTATGTATAAACGCTTACTAAATAAATAACTTCTGATGCTAAATTCTTGTAAAGTACGCTGGATTTATTCATTAAATCATCTGTCCAGTTTATCGGAAGTGATGTCTCTGCTGAAAAGATGAATGCCTTCATTTCACCAACTAAAGGATCTGAAATAAAAGAGGAGTAATACATAAGAGAAGAAGTGAATCAATAGGGGAAATGATGACAATCGTTATGAAAATCTAAAAAACATTATCACTGGATTGAAACAGTCAACGAGGAAGTCGTCGACGTAGATTTCGTGCTTATTATTAATAATCATCGATTGACCCCAACCATCTAAAAGTAATTCAAATTGACTGTAATGGCGTTTTTCTTAGCTTGATGAGTGAATTGTAGACTTCGGTGGTCGAACGCATAGAAGACAGCATCTTTTCAAGCATACTCATATTTAAAATATGGTTAACATATGTAGATGTTACTTTTTTAGTGCTAAAACGAGATATACACGATCCATTCTTTGAGAAAATGACCAGTCTATCTACCAGCATCCAGTTTAATTCGGAAGGAAAATCAGACGTTGGTGAACTGCCACATCTAGCCTACCTAGTTAAGACGAGGGAAAATGGATATTTTAGTATATCTATATTCAGGAAGAAAACCCACTCCAACAAATATTTGTGTCATCACACTTCATCAGCACAAAGGTAGCAGTTGTTTCAAGTCTTCTCAGGTGAGCACACTGTTTGATAACGGGTTAGAAAAAAAGAGAAGAATTATCAAACATTACTGAGATTCTCAAGCAAAATAACTACCCAAAGAACTTCATCCGCAAAATCAACACTGAGGTTAAATATGGTTGAAAACCTATTCCGAGGGCATGAGTCTTAACAGCTGTCATTCCATATAGATCAAGACCGTCAGACTATATCAGAAGAGTACTCAATAAGCTCGACATCAGGATTTTCTTCAAAACATCAGACTCACACACTACCAAACAACTTTGTCTATGTAAAAGACCAAATACCCCTTCCCCTTAGAAAAATGTTTTCATCAAATTACCATATAACAGAGAAATAAACAGTAAGACTTTGAGACAAAGGTTGAATTCGGTCATCCGTAGAACCTATTGTGCTGCATTATAATAGAAAAAGCCAAAAATATTCTCCAATACCGACCTCAAAAGTGCACAAGTGATTATGTCACATCCCACACTATTAACCAATTTTCGAATGTGTGTGTGGACACATACATAGGGAGGGGTAATCATGCTTTCCATGTGAGGGTGGGACAACATATCCCGAAATAGTTAGAAAAACAAATGAATTGTGGAAAGACGCAGGTTTCAGACCACTAACATTGTCTATAGCTAAACATCTAATCGAGATGAACCATGAGACACAGCCTCTAAGGTCACCTATAAAAATGGTCAATGGCGCGTAGTGAAATACGCTGAGGCTATAACTATTTATAAACTTATTTGAACGGATTACCAAGTGTTGTGTTAATCCCTTTCTGTCAGTTGGTTTAATTTAATTGCCCTTAATTTTTTTCATATCTATCGACTTGACAAGTAAATGTGTGATCAAATTGTTCGAAATGCATAGCGCAAATACATCACATTTTTCAGATAATCTCCGTCTTCTAAGAACGCTATCCAAATAATAATAATAATGAATCTGGTGAAGTGAAATGAACAGGAATTTTTAAATATGATAACAAGATAGGAAAGTATTACTCATACTTAAGGTAATAGAAATCATAAGAAAGGTTATGAAATCGTAAAAGGTCAGAAATGAACGTTTGTCAATGAAACAAAGGAAAAGAAGAAGAAGAAGAAGGAAAGAAAAAATTGCGATAGGAATTTAAAGTGCCAATGTCTGTGGAAGATTTGTTGGGCTTATTGTGTGCTAAGGTAAATATAGTGGCTGAACATACTTCTTCTGTATACAAAGAGTCGGTCTTCTGATATTGATTGCAACTGCCTCAGCTGCTAATAGAAGACGTAGTCGAGCTCCTCTAGAAAGATTACCAGGAACACAGTAAATAACTGAGAACGCCTGTTCAGGTTTTATCGAGTGTCCAGTATCTACCAAGTGGGCTAAGACCGCACTGTTTGCGCATTTGGTTACTCCTTTACTCAACCATACAGTCACATTTTCACGCGCGCGCATTGATAAAGCCCTTAGAGTATGGCCAATGTAACTGGCTCCACAGGAAGAGCTGAATTCAAAGATACACACTGATAAGTTCGTCTTTCGTTATTTGTAGCATACACATCGTCCCACACACCACTGATTACACTCAATCTCGAAACCTGTACTTTATTTATATACACACATCATTAAATTATTTCAGGTCTCAGGTTTACATGCCGGCATCGGTGGGAACATCATCACTAACTGTGGAATGCAGGTAAATCCAGTGACGATTCCCAAATAGGACGAAATGAACATCCTAGATTCCATGGTTGGTCGCCATCCACCAATTATTCTATTTCATCCACACTTTATCTCATGCTCTCATTGACCATTCATATTCAAACCTAAATCACTATTGTTCCATCCCATCCTATACTTGTTCCACAATACATTTCTGATATGATTCTAATTTGCCTTTAGTGGCTGGCTATTATTTGCTTAAATTAATTGATTTATAATTGTAGAGCCTGAAGAAGAATTTATCGAAAACAGCCGTTAGCTATATTTTATGGTTTTATACTCTTATCAAATCCAACAATCTACACCTGGTTTTGTTACCTTTACCAGTTGGCAGACCTGACAATATAAAAATCACCCCATGTTGATGAACGATGATTTAGTTGTTATATATAAGCTGACATTTTGTAAATTATGGTCAAACATTACTACATTGATAGAGCTATTAGCAGCAGCATTAAATAGCGAAATGTCAGTAAACACACAACAGTATTCATTCATTGGAAATACAAATTCTTTTATAATAATAAATATCATATACCCAATGCCCAAATTTTTTCATACAGTTAAAAGTGAACTTGGTTTTATTTCGGTGATTGAACACTGAGGTTTGATCATATGACAAAAGTTACTTCCCAGTGACACATCAATGTAAAGTAATATAAATTAGAATGAAACAACCGTCCAGCACGCCTTGGTTTTCAGTACTTGTCTAGTTTATACCACTATGTGATCAGACTTGAAATGTAATCTTTATCAGCAAAAGTAACACTTTGAATGAATTAGTAGTCTCCACTGGATTAAAACTAACACAATGAAGGCTGATTTTGAAAAAGAGAAACTTTGCTTAATAAATATCTGAAGTCCTGAAATTCTGTGAACAGAATGTTTAGTTACATTTGTTACAAGAAACGAAAAGGTGAATAGAATGAAGACTTGTCACATTGACTTAGGCACTAAAAACACTCCATTGGAATATAATGGTTGAAATCACAAAATGGTTTGTACAGTGAAGAAGTGAATTAACTAACACATTTTCCTTTCACTTTATTGAATTGATAAGGCTTACTACATTTCGTAATATTGAAAGTGAAATATCAAAATAATACTAAACGCGTTGATTGACACTGGAAGAACGATTTAATTTATATTCGGCAAAGTGACATGTGAAAGCAGAATTCTCTCCATCTCATACTTAGTAAAAGTTATCACTTATCAGAATTTGATTAGATCGAATACTATATTACATGTATTCATTCCAACAAACTTACTGTCAACTCTTGGTGGTAAAGTGTTTTCGAAAAACTCCCATGAGAACCCATCACTGGGTGTTACGGGTAATGCTGAAGTGAATGATGTGTTTGTGAATTTGATGTCAACGCTTTGTGTAGATGAGGTTAAATTACTGTCAAACGCTGCTGTTGTTGTAGCTGTATCTGAGCTGGCTGTGGTGCTTATTGTCTCTGTAGTGTTGAAAATACCTGTAATAAGAGAAAATCAAGGTAAAAATATCCTTTTTTTATCATTGTAATTTTGAACGCAATAGTAATAAGCAAATATTCCCTTCGAGTCAGGGAAATATGTAACACTGTTTTTAGACTGGGCTGCCGATGATAAAGATAAATCGGCATATATATATATATATATATATATATATAGATGATATCTAACTAATTCAATAACGTCAGTAAGAGTGATTTCAGTAATAGAATTTCGAATAACTTAGGAAGAATATATAACACATTATTTGTAACATAATATGGCCATTTATAAATCTGTGATTACATAAACAATGAAGAGGCCTTTTTACACCTAACCGTAAGAAAAATTTCAAACAAGTGTATGGTGTCTAGATTCGTTCCATGTAAGGCTCTTTTCACTTCTTGCATCCCGAGTGAAACATTGGACTTCAAGCTTTTTGAAGTTTAAGTAGCGGTGTGGGTTGTCGCTTTACATGATGAGATTGCCAACCTCACTCTCAACCTTCCTTTTTTCCTAAGGATTACTACTTAATAGTTATAAAACTAGACGAGGTTAAAATGTGTGTTGGCCAAGTATTGAACCCAGACTTCCAAGTGTGGTTTATAAGCATTCTAAAAGTTAATCACAGGCACACTTCACCGTTTTCATTTCACCGACGTTCTCCTAATTCTGTATTCAGTATCTGGTCACTTTAGGAAATAAAAATTAGCCAAATGATAATTTGAGAGGCTTTCATATTTCACACATTTGGTTCCATTGATAAAGTTCGATAGAGAAAGAAAGACGAGGTTTGCAGTATGAGATGATGTTATTCTATTTTAGAGGTTCTCATCAGTTGCAAACTACATGAAAGTACAATGGTAATAAATAATGACATTTCATACTTCAGTATTGAAAAGAAGAAAATGTTCATTTGCCTCCCATTAAAAGGAGAAGCAAGAGGGTGAAAGTACCAATAAAAGGATACTTCTCTGGAGTTAAGCTGGTGACACTCTACAGCATTACGTCAATCGAAACTGGATAAGTACCCTGCTGATTTTGCCTTCAACTGCATTTATAAATTTGCGTGCACCTGTAGCAGCAAGTACATTGGAAGGACAGATGGAAGGGCTTCTATTCGGTTTTCAAAGTATAACCCAAGAAACTTATGCTTAAAAGGAAGCAGATATTTAAAAAGTGCAATTACCAGATATTTGGGGATACGGGTCATTTTGTCGAAATTCACAAATCCTTCATAATATAAAACATACAAAGGACAACGAATATACTACGATTTCCTGAAGCAAATGCAATCAAACGTTTCAGACCAAACTTATGCACACAGAAAGAGAGTGTAGTCAATCTCTCACTCCTTGGTAACCGTATTATTTTCATTACACTGATTAGTCAGACACACTAGTGAGGCCAGCTCCCTACGCAAGCTTGCAATTTGATGAACTTTGACCTTCGTGAGTTGCTATGCTGACGTACAATTTAACACTGTTTATATGGATTTGTCTGTTTTCTGTCTTCTCCAACCTCCTTTCTTCATTGTTTTGATGGCATATAGATTGATGGTGACTTAAACTGAAAATTGTAATACTTATGTTGCGGATGAGTTCGTCTTATAATGTTTTCACTGTTACCTTCGAAACATTGAAGTATGAAATGTCATCATTTATAACCATTGTAATCATTGTAGTCTGTAGTTGATGAGAACCTATGAAATAGAATGATAACATTTTACAGTGCGAATCTGGTCTCGCTTTTACACTTTTCTGTAGGGCGAAGTGCTTAATTCCTTCATTAACATTCAGACATTTATTTACAACTACGATTGGAAGTTTAGATTTCTTCAAGAAGCAGGTAACAGTAGTTAGTCATACCATACAGGAATTGGAATTTATGAAGTAATTTAACGAGTTTTAATAGACTTTAAGTTGGTAGATTGTTATCAGTGCCTGTTAATGTGAATTTTGATATTCAGTGCATACTGACTGTGCTAATCTCATGTCATTGAATACCTTGAAAGGAGAATAATAGTAGTTTGCGAATTTTGAAACTGTCTGATCTGTATATGATCTTCAGTCAACTAAAAATAAAAGCAAATTTGTTGATTTCCAGTGTCTGCGTACATGGTTGCATAACAATGGAACATCATAACGCCTATTGTAGCATGAATATACAAAGAAAAATAAATGTATGGAGGATTTCATCATGAGCTGACATCAGTTAGAGAACCACTGGAAAACCTGGGAGTACTAGACAGCTGTTTCGTCCTAGTTTGGGACTCTTCAGCAGTACGCGCCCACTGGGATTCGAACCCAGGACCTTCTGGTTCAAGGCGAGCTCGTAGACCATTGAGCCACTTGAAAATTAATCTGACGCTCACTAGTGACTGGCCCTATTCAGGCAGTTAACCTGGGGTTCTAGTGGGAAGCCGTGACCAGTAGGGTACAACAGGCTGAAGATGAGGCAGTAACTCATCGAAGAAGACATTGCGAAATGGTCGGGCTATGTCGTGAATTGGCAGAAGTTAGAATTCAAGGACCATTGGATCGGATCCCAGTGGCTCAATGGTCTACGAGCTCGCCTTGTAACCAGAAGGTCCTGGGTTCGAATCCCGGTGGGTGCATACTGCTGAAGAGTCCAAAACTAGGACGAAACATTTGTCCAGTACCCCCAGGTTTTCCAGTGGTTCTCTAACTGATGTCAGCTCATGATGAAATCCTCCATACAATTAAACAAAATCCCTACCAAACCAATACTTGAAAAATAAATGTCCTTCAGAAAATGTTCACTGATTTCTATTCTAAAGTCTAACATGACAATCTTACTAGATTATAAATCAGACTATTCATCAAACTTATATATATATATAAACAAAACTGGTACACCAGAACATGAAGACTACAAACGGTGGTTTAATAAGCTAACAAAGGAGGTTAGCATATATCACAGTGGTTAGGACTCTCGCCGACCATGCACATGGTTCGGGGTTCAATCCCCTGCCTACGCACACCTGATATCTATGGTCGGCCTGCAAAATTTGGGCTACTGATATCACATGCTGAAAATTCCATACCTGTACCAAAAAATACAGTGTGGAATCAAGCTGTAATTAAAAATTAAAAAATTAAAAAAATTAAAAAATTAAATAAAAATTGATTAATTCGACTTTATAGCGGAATACAGGTATTTCATCTTGAGTTAAATAAAGCATATCTTTATGGCAGGTTATTATTATTATTGTTCAAATCAAAATGTACAGCCTGCCTGACACCAGGAATGTCATCAAAAATGCAGTCTAGAGTGTGATACCATAAAAATCAGTATTATGGGGCCTAATAGTCTTTGTCAGTTGAGATGTGGCTTATCTGTTTGAGCACTCAAATTTCAGTGTATAAGTTCCGAATCCGATCTCAATCTCCATCCACTTCAGTATAGATAACTGGATAGTATCCGCAGCCATCAGACAATAACTATGGCTTATTGTCTGGTGACAGATGAGAAAATTTTTCCGGTTAACCAAGTTCTTACACAGTGTCCATTCAATAAATGGAAGCAGTTCGATATTTAATTTGTTCAGGTGTTAGATGACCTCATACTTTACACAGAAAGATACTGTTGAAAAAGTGAATATATTCAGTCAGTAGTATAGGCCGTTTGATAATAATATTTATTTTGAAGAAGGATCCTTTGAGAAATATCCTCAAGCAGTGTTGCATCAAATCATATAGACAGAATTTTTATAAACAAATACAATCACCATTAAATCAAAAAACAAAAAACAGAAATAAAATTCAAGAAAGAATAATTAACTGAAGTATTAATTAGGTAGGAGATGTGACTAATTCAATATAATGTCAGAAATTGATGATGAGGAGATTTAACTTCAAATCTTAAGGTCACCAGAACAATAAACTTAAAAATAAAATTTCACTGACTGACAGAAGGTGGTAAATCATACATAACCTACCATTTGACAGTGTAGGTTGAATAAGATGTGTAACCTATTCACAGAAATTTTTATGAAAAAAAGAAATATAATATCACGTTTCAGTAAAATGAACAAATTGGTGAACGCGTGAACAAATCACAGGCATTTTGTAATCAGTGAAGCAAATACGTGTGGTGCATTTTCAGGGATTCTATAAATGTAAGCTAAAATAACGAAAAATCATAATACAGCATCCATAGGACTTGAATTTTTGCAAGAATCATGAAGATTAATGTTGACTGCTGAGATGCTTAAATATATTTTGTTTAAGAGTAGACAACGAAATAGGAAAATTGCCCCAGTGTTTTAAAGTGCGGTTAAGTGAAAGAAAATTTATAATACGAAATTGTGACCTAAGTACCGAAGAAGGCCTGCAGTCTATAGAGAAGCAATAAACAGTGTGAACAAGTAGTATTTAAATTTGATCACGGATTGATATCTCATCAAGTGAACTATTGAAAACCAGGGATTGCTGGACAGCTGATTCGTCCTAATGTGGAACTCTCCAAAAGTACGCATTCGTGACAGTTCCTAGTATTGAACTCGGTTAGAATTTATGGACTAGTGGAATGTAGCCAAGTAGATGAATCGTCTAAGAGCTTTCCTCGTAACCTGAATGTTCTGGATTCAGCCGCCAAAGGGGTCATAGTGGTGTACTTTCAAAGAGTCCCAAACCAGGACGAAACAGCCATCCTGTACCTCACCAGCTGGTTTTCACTGCTTCTCTTACTGATATCACTCCATGCTCAAACTTGTGTCCAATCAAATTCCAACAAATTATTATTTGAAAATGGGATTTAACTGAAATATGAATCATACTAAGAGTAGGTATTTGTTAAAATGGAGTTTGTAAACGATCATTCGTAAAAGTGTTAGGTAATAAACAAAAACAAATATGAGGGTAAATAGGCCTAAGGAAGAACTGACAATAATGAGACTATAAGAAGTGAAGAGAGGAAGAAAATCTCACCAAACAATAAACAGTCAAGCTGAGGAGGGGGGCGGGAAATAGAACATCCTAATACTTCATTGAGCAAAGTTAAACTTCTGTAGCCACAATCACAGTGACCTTGAAAAATCAGTCAGAATATAAATATGACAAAGCCATACAATCATTAAAAATGTATTTGAAAAACATTGCAAACATGACATTGCACAAGATAACTGTCTTTTATGTGTTGCAAGACTGTCGCCCAGTTTCTCAAAGGATAACAAATGGAGAAATCATACCATGCGCAATGGATGTATTCATCCAGGTGGTTGTAGACCACATTACTTTTGCATCCGTTGATATTCTTAACTTTGTTATTTAACCAAAGCCCGGCGTTAACCACAAACAATAAAACTTACCTCTATCATAAACCCTAACCAATAACTAGGGAATAAGTGGAATACCGTACCCTAACTGACGAACGGATTTTCTATTGTAGCATGATTTGATTTAAAATAACTTTTGTAGCACTTCCCAAATACGACTGGTTCTTGAAGTTCAAATATTGATGGACTTTAACTGTGGCTGTGATACTTAGCTTCTCACTGTATGTTGATGAAAAAAAATCATCAGGAAGAAGTAAGTGATATCTTTGAGAAAAGCAGTTAGATAACAGTAACATAAGACAAGTCCTAGAAATATGGATCGCGCCCATGATACACCTCTGAAAATCTGACCACACATGCTTATAAACTTGATTATTGTGAAAATTAGAAAGTGGGAAGTCAGTCATAAATGAAATGATATATGGTGCTGACTGATTGTTAGTGGTTAACAATGGAGTTTAGTGGCTCACTTCTTTCTGTTGGAGGTTCTTGGAAAAGTATTAAGTAACTGCTGATGCTGTGACGAATTTCAAATAAACCGAAATGCTCATCCCTTATTCTAATCTTAGCCACTGGCAACCTACTGGCATCCTATTTATCCCACGAGATCGTGAAATCTTCTGGGCGAGAAGCGAAAAAGTCAACAAAGTCCACGCATTTCGGTCCTGTTTAACCCATCAAAGTGAAATTCAGAGTAACTCCAACTGGAAATGTTATGGTATTTAAGAATAAAGTGGATGATAATTGAAAGCACATGTGACACAGTACTCATATAGGGATCACCTAGATAGGTTAATTCTAATAGCATGGAACTGCGTCCCATTATACAGCCGAATCCATTTCTTCATAAAAACCAGAAGTCCATTTTAGCAGAAGTCTAATCATTCGTATCAGATAATACTTCAGATGGGAAGAGATAGTTTTGAATCCATGCTAACCAACGTTTAGCATTTTAAATGTTTTCAGCGCTTTGTGGCATATGTTCAAATATAAAAGTGATGAGAATTATCAGTCTCACGACGCATAAAACCATATCGATTAAAATGATCAAATATATCATAGTAATTGAACAAAGTGAACTAGCGAGGAAAGCTGCCAGCTAAAAACATTGACAGACTGTGACAAATGAAACAATGAAACTAAAATCTACCGCACAATACATACGAAAAAAGATAGTACACTCACCATAGGTGGAGAAAAAGAAGGTAGTGTAGGAGGAGAAACCATAGTAAACGAAGTCAAAAACTCGGACGAAATAGAAGTAGGAGAGTACATAGCAGCAGAAGGCACAGGAACAGGTGAAATGGTTGAGAGAAAATTAAAGGAAAAGTTAGAAGTGAAGTCAGATGATGGAGTGACTATTTCCTCATCTGTGGAAATGGAGTGTGTGTTTGGGGATGACGTCATTATGTGTGTCGTTGATGAGTGCATAGTTGGCAGGATCTGTGCTGCTGACGGTTGTGGTGATGAGGATGATGTAGTCGAGCTGTTGTTCTGAAGATCCGTTGACTGTGGAAGTAGTGTGAATATCGTATATGCATTGGGAGTGTCTGTCTGAGTGTGTTTGTTGACAGAGAGAGTCGGAAGTACTGAAACGTTGACGCTGCTTGTAGTTTCTACCGTGGCAAGAGATGTTAATGTAGAGGGTGACTCGGTTTCGAGTAATGATTCAGTGTCGTGTGTGATGACAGCGTCAGTGACAGTGGTGTTTAAGAATGTGGCTGAGGTCGTGGCATTGTGTGTGTCAGTGAAGGCGGCAAGGTTTATTGTCTGCAGGCTTGTGTACACTTTGTCTGTATTATGCGTGTTAAAGTGTGGGGCTTTGGTACTCTTTTCACTTGGTATTTCACTTGTTGTTATTCCTGTGAAGAGAGATATTAACTGAAAAAATTAAATGATATTTAAGGTTTTGCATTTAATCTCTATTTACATATTCATTCATTTGCTAGTGGTTGGTCTATCGTGGTTTTTTAGGCTACTTTAAATGCTTTTTATTTTGATGCAAATCTACCTTTCTTCTAGTTTAATGTTTTTCTCTTTTTCTCACAAGTTATTTCTCAAAATACGGCTAAGTTATTTCGAATTACACAATAGTCTGTAGAGTTTTCGTTGTGCACATTTCATTAGGAGAGCAGTTGCTTGTTTGTGTAAATTAAATATGTTTAGGACGTGAACACACTGCACAAGATAATTTTAACATAATATTAACGTTATGAATCTTCAAAATCCTATCAAATCACAAAACAGAAGAGGCGTTCAGCGAAGAGTTATTCTTTAGAGATGCCACTCAAAGGCTGTATAGTTCCATATATATGTAATGCATAGTTAGAGCGGAAAATCATCATTTCCAAATTTGAGTCATTAAAATTGTTAGTTTTAGATAACAACTACTCATTACAGGGGAATGTAATTGAGATGAAACTGAGTAAGTAAATTGAGTGACGTTTAGTAGTCGACAGGATTGAGTAGAGCCCAACTAAAAACTGAGGAGACAGACAAGCTAGGATCAGTGTCATAAGGAGTATAAATGGAGTGTTAGGAAAGCAGGAGATGATCATAAAATTCATAAGCTAAGGTTCAAAAAGCTTACTGCACACAAATGTAGAGACAAATAAAGTTTATGCTAGATTCAGTGAGTGAATAAACAGAATTCAGGAATTACAATTCGGAATGTCATAGTTTATGTGGCTTGAAAGAACTTGATTCCCCTTCATTGGACAAGATACATTCGGTTTGCGAGTTGAATCATTGTCCACAATAGGTGAGTTTGAAAATAATACCAATGAAAGTAATACACCTTCATTGAATGAGGAGTCTTTAAAATGTGTCGAAAAGATTCTAAGAATCGTAACTGATGATAATGCTTATATTTCTGTAAAAGTTAAATTATGTCAGTGTATAAACATCCCGACATTCTACAAAATCAATTTGATTATATTTTGATGAAGATAGTGCCAACAAAAATCAACAAATTCCAAATGAAAATGCACCCTGGAATGATTTTAACGGTAGTGACTTCAAAGCACTACTGTGCATCACCAAAACCACCTTGAAAATCCGACACAACCAAAGTCGTTCTGAGCAACTGTGGTGAAATATTGAAAATAAAGCAGTTTTCAAACACTGACTACTATTCTCGTCTTGAAGCGATCCGAGAGGTTACCTGCACGTCGAATCAAGGGGCGGATGACATCGTTTGTTACCTGCTATTCAGAAGAAAGTTAATGCAACCGTCGACAAATCATCATGAATACGACATACGTTGATAGTATCATTTTGACTAGGTGGAAATAGCCAGATGGTCGAACATTGATGACGTCTGTATGCACATTTAGTTTCCTGTTCCCAATGCACTTTGGCGTTGGTTTACCACACAGAAATGTCGATATCTTCCACATTGTGTATTTATTTTAAAAATCGCTTTCCACTTATCGCGCACAACAGTTTTACAAGCAATCACTCTCACGTATATGAGATAACAGGCTTCTAGACGTTAACATTCCTCGGATGGAGAGAAACTGTATGCATGATTGTAATCCCATAACAAAAGATATCGATATATGATGAAACCCGATTGTTATTTTATATATCGATCGCCTTCTTTAATGAAAATCAGAACGTCCAGCATGCAAATTGTATTCTTCTTGAGGCTGAGAATGGTGTGAAGATGAATACAATCCGGAGCACTGTGAGATGTCTACTTCACCAGTGATCACTAGATACTTCTGTCAAATCAGTGGTACACCACTTCATTCTAAATATCTTTTAACTTTATTGACACTTCATTTAAACATGTATTGATTGAATGAGCACAGTAGCACAAATAAAGAAGCTTACCTGATGTATAAACTTGGGAAGTAAAATACCCATCAGTCGTAGTTGTTGATGTGAAGTTTAACAAACTTTCAGTTACTTCTTGCAATTCTCTTGTCGTCTGTGCCAAAGGTGCTGATGACACCATCATCACTGTAGGTTCTGGATAAGTCCCTTGAATAAAGAAAGAAAAAACTTGGGATTGGCATATTGTAAGAAAAATGGTATTTTGGGTTTTATTATCCAATGATTTCACCGAATAGCATATTTGATGACCAACTCAAAAGAAAAATAACAAAGAGTACAGCTATCCTGATTTCTTTTCCCATACGTTTGCTTTTCTGTGACTGCATACACTTTCTCTGATCGAATAATTGTCTGGCCCATAAAACTAGTGAGACGCGTGTGTGAGTAGTTTAGCACAAAATCCTGTAGACACTGTTCATTGATGACACCTCATTGAGTGAAATTTGAGGTAGTCACCTATTATGTCAATAATCTTGCAGAGAATTACATATCAGCCTAAGTTGACAGTGTTTGACGGAATTTCCCTCTACTGAAATACATTTCACTTTCAGTGGGAAGATTTGTTAGGTAGAAGACTGCAATTGGTGAACTGCCAAGTTTTCAAACATTCCCTGAGCTCAACACTTATACTATAGTGGATATACGCACTATAACTGGGTGCATATTTCATCGAAAACTGATTCACCCATGCCATAGCAATTGATGTAAAACTCAGGATAGTAAACTTCACAAGCCAGGCTATTCTACTGCAAGATTAGTAAACTTCGTGGCATACGAATCCACTAAATCAGCCACATAAAATCATACCCACTTTATTGAGACCAAAATTATAGCTTGGACAGTTTCGAAGGTATAGTTCGGTGTCAGAGTGGTACTTGTATTCCTTATTGTTTGCTGACGATCATTAGTGAAAATCACAATTAGGCATCATCATAGGTTTGATATGGTTTCCAGTGAGATCGATGAAGAGCGGGGTTTCTATGCTTTGTAAAAGAAATGGGAGAAGGCCTTACAGTGAAGTACTACTCACTGGCAAACCACGAGAAGGCTGATTCACGTTATTTTAAAATTCGCAGTCAAGATGATAATTGTTCTCATAAAGCTAGACATGACTTCCAGACTGTCATCAAAAACCATCATTGCCAATTTCTAAAAGTCATACAGTGACAAAGCACCACGAGGCTGAATATACTAAACACGTTTGATTTGTTTAGGATGTATGCAGTTGATGAGAATCCACGAAATAAAACGAGCTCGTATTATCCTGCAAACATGTTCATTCTTTCTCTCTTCAAACTAATAAAGGGAACCAGTTGCATGAAATACTAAACACGTGCCATTCACTAACACGCACTCCTGACATTGGTATAATTAAATAATGCAAGCCACTCACTATATCCACGTTCAGATTTTGACATGTCAGAAGACTGTCTAATCCAACAGTTTGGGATTTGACATACATTCACTAATATATAAAAAATATACACATTCTGGCGGCCTGCTGAAATCACTGGGCTACCAAATTTTCCCACCATCACATTGCAGCATACTTGCTGCACTTCATGATGTTTTAGCCATCCAACTACCTTCATGAATCGTATGGTCTCGACCAACTGATGCGAATGTTTGACGGAAACGCAAGACCATTGGAGCCTGCCCTGGATAGAACAATATTGCTTCAAATGGTGCATCATCGATGACTATTATATTACTTGAAGGTCTTGCACAAGGATTAAATACCATGCCATAGAACAAGCTGGAGATTCTGTCTCATGTAACAAAGAACTTCTTAGAATAAAGTAGTTATTCTTATTACTATTATTGTGCATCAATCTAATTTAATCTGCTTCATTGCATTTAATCTACTACTAGAAATATTTTTGACTTACTAATTGCTTGTATATTGAAAAAATATGTATCCGAAGTTACATTTGACTGATTTTGAACAGAGGATAGGATTTCAACCAACTGCGTTTCATTCAGATTTGTCTCATTCGTTGGCATCAAATCGATATCTGCGTTCCCCTGTACACCTTGAGTGGCATTCTGTCGCTCAGTACCAGTTACATTCAACTGTCTTTTCTCAAGAATTACAAAATCAACTGGTACGAATACAACATTGTAGCATCGAGCTCCTTTGGAAGCAACTGGATTCCATAGATTGAAAATGTCCAAAATCTGTCAAAATGAATCCAGAATTCAGAGGTCAGTATTTCAAAGGTAATTATTATGGAAACCATGAAAAGTGATGTGGGATTTTATAGGCACACATCATATGATTGACAAGAAGGGGCGGTATCTGATCAGTTTAAATGAATCCGGTCCAGTGATTTGCATTGTAATTGGCTCGTAATGTCAACTGTAGTGATATATCTGCACTCACCGTCTTGTGAAATTCTTTCGTTATCAAAGAAAACGGGTGTGTGTTCTTGGATTGATGGCGAAAATTTGTGTGGGTATATTCAGTGTTACTGTATCCTATGTGCCCAGCGGTTTAACTGTGGAGCTCCTACTATCCCCTTCCGGACAATATATTCAGCCGTAAATTCAAAATTAAATGAGATTTCCGAATTCACCATGAATGAAATGACCGATTTCCTGATGATCCTGACTTGGATCAGTTGTCTTCAATGCTCCTCTTATTCTGCTGCCCGATGAAGTTCAAGTCAGAATAACCAGAAAATCAGTGACTTCATCTCCTGCAAATCATACAGTCTCACTTAATTTTGAAGTTAGCGCTGAACACGTTGTTTGCAAGGGCAGTGAAGCATCCTCAACTGAATGAAGTAGGTTGAACAGAACAGCAGTATCGAACGAAGATTATCTCCGAAAATGTGGATATGGACAGTCATCTTTATTAATGGGCAAGACTAGGAAGCCAAGAAGTGTAGTGGGTTGACAAGTGGAGTCATTAACCAAGTGGATATTGAATTTCGAATGTTTCATCAGTTAGTTCAATCACTATTACGAATTCCCTGAATATATATGTAATCGCAGACATTCCCGCATTAGAAGTCACTTCGCCTCGTCTTTCGATGGCACATTCGCTGTTCTCTGTATTCAACATGAATAATTCAAATAAACAAGGAGGAAAGCCTGTCACATGAACTATCTGAATGATATGACATTGAGTTCTATCCATCGGTGGCTAGAAGTTCAATGAGGAATTCGACTCTTCCATTAGAGTCTAGATATGATTATTCCTATGACTATTATGGTTTATCGCACTTGCTGCACGTCATTTAACGTACAGAAAATAAATTACCTATGAGTATTATTAAATTGACAACTGACTCAAAACGGAAGTCATCCACTAAATGTATGTTCTGAATCACTGTAAATTGTATTGAATGCATAAAACTGAATACGATGAACTGACCTTGTTGCAAAATGTTTGAGCTAGATTAATGTATACATTTGATGATGTGTTGGACAAATCAGGCTGCCAAATATACGGCGTTCTCTCACTGTCCGTGTATAATACAGTTGCAAGTTTGAAGATCACGACTTCTGAAAGTCGAGAAACGATAACACAAGCATGATGACACAGGAACAAAAATAAGAAAAACGATATAATACTGATATCCCTTATGAATTGATTGTTTCGTGTGAAAAGACGCCTGTTCACAGACAATCGATGCACTTTTACTACACCGAGATCATTGACAATCCTCATTCATTCATTTCAAATTGTTGATTACATTGTTTTAGAACTACGCTTTAACTGCATTTTGGTTCATTTACTCTAAATGACGTGAGCCGATATGAAAGAATAATTATGTGGACATTGAGTTGACATCAAAACATCGAAAAATGTCGACTAAATTTGAAAATGTCATGCATTTGATCCTCTACCCTATAGTGCTCAAATATCAACTGTTGAAGTATTTTACTGCATGGAGTGTGCATCAAAAATATGTATGAACACATTGAAAAAGTAAATTGAGGGAAATTCCCGGACTTCATGCACGCATTTATTGACACGTAACTTCAGTCGGAGAAATGGAGCTATGTGAATGTGGATTTGATTGAGCATGATCTGGTTGGAATATTCTTTGGGCTGGCCAACTTTCAAATTTCACTGAAGGTGATGAGGATGGTGACGGTGCAATAAATGACTGAGACAGCTCTACACCCACCATCAGTATGCATATCTCATTTCCAAATTGTTACGATGATTTTCAATTCGATGTGAAATGCAATTTCGAAATGCTCATGATTTAGAAAGTTGTCAGGTGAACATTGATTCATTATAATAAATCAGAAGAAACTTTAATTGTGATAATGATAAAATTAATCCGGACAAATATTCATACTTGTGTAAGCGTTTAATACACATAAGTCACTTATTCATATATTTCAGATTCAAATTTGAAAGTAATAACAATGGCGTCTTTAATAACGATAAAGATTATGATGACTCTAAACAATATCGAGGGTGATATCAAAGGGTTCCATTTCAGTAATGTGTTAGTTTAACAATATGCTTCCTTGTCAGACACAGCGAAATATATTTTGTGAGATATTCCATCCAAATTCAGAAGTCTAATCAAAGTGATGGAGATAAAGTGAAGAACGGAAAGGAAAGGAAAACTCTGTATTAGAAGAATGACGAGATATTTAGAGGATGGTAAACTTCATGAGTGTATGAATAGCGTCTGTGAGATAATGAGCTGCGAACAAGCATAGCATATGCACAAATGAATGTGTGTGAGCGATAGAGGTGAACTCAGAGTGAATACCAGTAGGTAGGAGAGCGTAGAATGCAGTGATAAAAAGGAGTATAGACAAAAAGTGTACTCCAGAAAAGAACTAGGAACAGAAATAAGCGTAGAAGGTAAAGCAGGATAAATGCATGCTGTGAAGGAGGAGGGGCGTGGAGGTGGGCTGATGAGACGGAGTGGGCTGACTGGTGTCACTGGCTGACGGAGTGATGGTGGACTGTGATGACTGCAGACCTGTAGATAGAGGGAGATGGAGAGAGGACAGAAAGCAGTGGTCAGCATTTGCTTGCATGCACATGGATGAGAGACAGTGGTGAATGTGCGTGTGTATGTGGGCGTAGACTTGCCTGTGTTTTTGGCGGATTTGCAGGTGTGTGTGTGTGTGTTTGCATGTATGCATCAGTGTTTGTGCATGTTGATGACCGTGTGAAAGCGAGTGTGTTGGAGAGTGCGTGAGTGAGTGAGTGTGTGAGTGATTGGTCGATTGTGTGAGTCAGTTGGTGACAGCGTGAATGCGTGAGTCGAGTGGCGTTCACATTCTCACATTGTTGATTTGTGTTGGGAGATGCAGATTGTTGTCGTGTCATCTGCGGGTTGAAGTGATTCCATGTGTGGGTGTGTGATTATCCGATGTGGAGGATCGACGTTGTGTGTGGGTGTGGGTGTGCGTGTGCGTGTGCTTGTGCGTGTGTATTGCTGGATGATCGGACAGAGATTGTGAGTGTTGAATTGGCGGTGTGTGATTGGAAGTGTCTGCGTGTGCACGTGTGTGTCCGTGTGTGTGTCGTCTGTGAGAGTGTGTAGGTTGTTGTTTGTCCAGTGGTGTGAGTGTTGCCTGTGTGTTTGTGTGTTGTGAGTGGAGGAGGAGTGTGTGAGATTGAGAGTTGACTGGAGTGTGTGAGGTGGATTGGCGCAGTGGTGTCATCAGGATTGAGGGATTAGGAGGAGACGGAGGAGGTTGAATGAGCGTACGAGTGGGAGGATGAGAGTTCGCCACAGCACGAGGATGATGATGACTAGGGAGACGGGTTTGTGGAGAATGAGAGGAAACTGAGATTGACTCACCAGTGAAGGTGGAGACAGTGGTGTTGGTTCCGATGATGTCGGTGGTGAGTGTTGTGGTTGGAGTTGTGGGCGACTCGGATAGTCCGGGTGTTGGTGGTGTGGTTGTGGTGTGGAGGAGGAGGAGTGGCGTGGATGTGGGCTGGTGAGACGGAGTGGGCTGACTGGTGTCACTGGCTGACGGAGTGATGGTGGACTGTGATGACTGCAGACCTGTAGATAGAGGGAGATGGAGAGAGGACAGAAAGCAGTGGTCAGCATTTGCTTGCATGCACATGGATGAGAGACAGTGGTGAATGTGCGTGTGTATGTGGGCGTAGACTTGCCTGTGTTTTTGGCCGATTTGCAGGTGTGTGTGTGTGTGTTTGTATGTATGCATCAGTGTTTGTGCATGTTGATGACCGTGTGAAGCGAGTGGGTTGGAGAGTGCGTGAGTGAGTGAGTGTGTGAGTGATTGGTCGATTGTGTGAGTCAGTTGGTGACAGCGTGAATGCGTGAGTCGAGTGGCGTTCACATTCTCACATTGTTGATTTGTGTTGGGAGATGCAGATTGTTGTCGTGTCATCTGCGGGTTGAAGTGATTCCATGTGTGGGTGTGTGATTATCCGATGTGGAGGATCGACGTTGTGTGTGGGTGTGGGTGTGCGTGTGCGTGTGCTTGTGCGTGTGTATTGCTGGATGATCGGACAGAGATTGTGAGTGTTGAATTGGCGGTGTGTGATTGGAAGTGTCTGCGTGTGCACGTGTGTGTGTCGTCTGTGAGAGTGTGTAGGTTGTTGTTTGTCCAGTGGTGTGAGTGTTGCCTGTGTGTTTGTGTGTTGTGAGTGGAGGAGGAGTGTGTGAGATTGAGAGTTGACTGGAGTGTGTGAGGTGGATTGGCGCAGTGGTGTCATCAGGATTGAGGGATTAGGAGGAGACGGAGGAGGTTGAATGAGCGTACGAGTGGGAGGATGAGAGTTCGCCACAGCACGAGGATGATGATGACTAGGGAGACGGGTTTGTGGAGAATGAGAGGAAACTGAGATTGACTCACCAGTGAAGGTGGAGACAGTGGTGTTGGTTCCGATGATGTCGGTGGTGAGTGTTGTGGTTGGAGTTGTGGGCGACTCGGATAGTCCGGGTGTTGGTGGTGTGGTTGTGGTGTGGAGGAGGAGGAGTGGCGTGGATGTGGGCTGGTGAGACGGAGTGGGCTGACTGGTGTCACTGGCTGACGGAGTGATGGTGGACTGTGATGACTGCAGACCTGTAGATAGAGGGAGATGGAGAGAGGACAGAAAGCAGTGGTCAGCATTTGCTTGCATGCACATGGATGAGAGACAGTGGTGAATGTGCGTGTGTATGTGGGCGTAGACTTGCCTGTGTTTTTGGCGGATTTGCAGGTGTGTGTGTGTGTGTTTGCATGTATGCATCAGTGTTTGTGCATGTTGATGACCGTGTGAAAGCGAGTGGGTTGGAGAGTGCGTGAGTGAGTGAGTGTGTGAGTGATTGGTCGATTGTGTGAGTCAGTTGGTGACAGCGTGAATGCGTGAGTCGAGTGGCGTTCACATTCTCACATTGTTGATTTGTGTTGGGAGATGCAGATTGTTGTCGTGTCATCTGCGGGTTGAAGTGATTCCATGTGTGGGTGTGTGATTATCCGATGTGGAGGATCGACGTTGTGTGTGGGTGTGGGTGTGCGTGTGCGTGTGCTTGTGCGTGTGTATTGCTGGATGATCGGACAGAGATTGTGAGTGTTGAATTGGCGGTGTGTGATTGGAAGTGTCTGCGTGTGCACGTGTGTGTCCGTGTGTGTGTCGTCTGTGAGAGTGTGTAGGTTGTTGTTTGTCCAGTGGTGTGAGTGTTGCCTGTGTGTTTGTGTGTTGTGAGTGGAGGAGGAGTGTGTGAGATTGAGAGTTGACTGGAGTGTGTGAGGTGGATTGGCGCAGTGGTGTCATCAGGATTGAGGAGGGATTAGGAGGAGACGGAGGAGGTTGAATGAGCGTACGAGTGGGAGGATGAGAGTTCGCCACAGCACGAGGATGATGATGACTAGGGAGACGGGTTTGTGGAGAATGAGAGGAAACTGAGATTGACTCACCAGTGAAGGTGGAGACAGTGGTGTTGGTTCCGATGATGTCGGTGGTGAGTGTTGTGGTTGGAGTTGTGGGCGACTCGGATAGTCCGGGTGTTGGTGGTGTGGTTGTGGTGTGGAGGAGGAGGAGTGGCGTGGATGTGGGCTGGTGAGACGGAGTGGGCTGACTGGTGTCACTGGCTGACGGAGTGATGGTGGACTGTGATGACTGCAGACCTGTAGATAGAGGGAGATGGAGAGAGGACAGAAAGCAGTGGTCAGCATTTGCTTGCATGCACATGGATGAGAGACAGTGGTGAATGTGCGTGTGTATGTGGGCGTAGACTTGCCTGTGTTTTTGGCGGATTTGCAGGTGTGTGTGTGTGTGTTTGCATGTATGCATCAGTGTTTGTGCATGTTGATGACCGTGTGAAAGCGAGTGGGTTGGAGAGTGCGTGAGTGAGTGAGTGTGTGAGTGATTGGTCGATTGTGTGAGTCAGTTGGTGACAGCGTGAATGCGTGAGTCGAGTGGCGTTCACATTCTCACATTGTTGATTTGTGTTGGGAGATGCAGATTGTTGTCGTGTCATCTGCGGGTTGAAGTGATTCCATGTGTGGGTGTGTGATTATCCGATGTGGAGGATCGACGTTGTGTGTGGGTGTGGGTGTGCGTG